TCCAAACCGGGAGCAGGTGCTCCGGGGATGATTTCTCCAAAAACGTGTGAAATAGCTCCTTATTGCTCAAATTCATCTCTTTTTGCTCCAATGCCTCCTAAACACTCCAATCCTTTGATAAGGCCTCTAAGTCACCTGAAACTTCCTGAAAAGACTCCAAAAACTCCTAAAACAATTAGTAAACACAAGTTAGAATGAGTCAAAATCTCCACTCATCAACTTCTTCCTGAAGTCTACTTTAATTTTCTGGTCAAACATCGAAGGAATATTTTTTATAGTAGACTTTCCACTGAAGTCTACTATGGACAATCAATTGCAAAAATAACCTATTTGATCATGTAAATTTCTATTGAAACTAGTAGACTTCACTAGTAAACTGTCAGAGAAGTCTACTCATACCAGAAGTCTATGCTAGAAATCTACTCGGTTAGTCAATGACCTGATCAAATGCAAAACTAACCTTTTATGCCTGAAGTTTACAAGTGAAGTCTAATTACGAAAAAGTCAATGTTTTGGTCAATTGCAAAAATAACATGCTTTTTTAAGTAGACTTCTTTCGCCTACTTCCACAGGAAAAAGTAGAATTCTCCTCCAGTCTACGTTTGAAGTCTGTATTAGAAGTCTACTTATTGTATTTATTTTAAAAACATTTTTTTTGGCACATTTATTAAGTATATTTTCAATTTTTTGGTTTTGAAATGCTTGTTAGCAAGTGATTGAACTACTCAATGATTTTCATTTCATTTAAGTTGATATTTATTGCGGAATCAGATTTTTTGATTTTTAAGCTAGTTATCAAAGTAGACTTCTCCAGCAGTCTACAGATGAAGTCTAATTGGGAAGCTACTTTTGTATTTATTATAAAAACGCTTTTCAAAAATATTTATAATGTTTTTCTTATTTTTAGGTTTGGACATGCGTGTTAGCAAGTGGTTGAACTACTCAATGATTTTCATTTGATTTAAGTCGATATTTATTCTGGAATTGATTGATTTATAAGCTAGTTAGCTTATAAAAGTAGACTTTTCCTGCAGTCTATGAAGTCTTCAAAGTTCAAACGAAGTCTTCTATGTAAAATTTTTTGATATTTTTGTTTGCTATAATGTGCTTTGTAATTACGTTTGCTAATGAGATTTTTTCTTACAAAACTACCTATGAGTTTAATATGTTTATGTGTTATAATTATGGTTCAATTTTTCTTGTTCTATTAGTCTTACAAAAAATTTCAAACCCTACCATCTATTACAAAAAATATTGTATTTCATAATTGTTGAAATCTATGAAAATTAAGATGGTTGTATTCATTTGAAAAAAAAAATTGTCAAATGAAAATCTGATTTTGAATTGTTTGAGTTCTTTTTTGAATTTTTTCTACCCCTTTTCACTTATGTTTGATCGGTTTGAATTGTGACTGAATTTTTAGTATATTGTAATTTGATTCAAAGGTTCCTTTGGAATCATTAAATTTCTGGCACATTGATATCTTCTGCTTAATGACTATAACAAGAAAAACAAGACATCTGTATAAAATAGTATATCACCATTACACTTAAACTATATACAAATCGAGTTCAAGATCATTATAACTGATGACCATAACTAAGATGACATAAACCTCACAAAATGAAAAAAAAGTGAGGCACAAGTTCTCCTTTTCTATAATCACAAAATGAAAAAAAAAAGAGTGATTAGGAAATAGCATTTCAAATTTACATTACATAAATCTCGCAAAATTTTCCAAACCAAAAACAGAACTGATTAGCAGATCATTAATTTCATGAAACAAACAACCAATTATAATGACATCAATCCGAACTCTTTACTGGTTGTAACTTTCCAAACCAAAAAACAGAACTGATTAGCAGATCATTAGTTCTTTGAGGAAAAAAATCAAAGAACTGATCTTTCTCCTTCCCCTGAATTGTGATAAATAGAATAATAATAGTTTCCTGATTGAGTTTAAAACTGACCTAAAAATGATCTAAAAACTAGGTTTTTATTTTTGCTAAAATTGACCTAAAAAGTAGATTCAATCCTACTATTATATTTAAGAATCTAAACGCATCAGCTTGTAAATAACATGCACAAACTTAAAATTATGATTAGTAATTATAACAATCACAATAAAAATAAATATATATATATATATTCATTGTAGACTACATTATTTATGTTATATATATATATATTCATTGTAGACTAGATTATCTATGTAAAATATATAGATATCCATATATATATATATATACATTAGTACAAAGTTTATAGAATGTATCCTGATTGTTAATGATGAAATCAAAGAAAATACCAAAATATATTTAAAATTATTACACATAATAAAATCAATTATCACATTAAAAAAATTCATAAATTTTGAATGCAGATAGAAAAATATTATTGTAAATAAATTATAAAAAATGAGCTTCAATTTTAACTTTTAAGTCAAAACAAAAAACAAAATAGTTATATTTTAGTTTATTTTTTCTTACTTATATACATAAATTTATATAATTATTAATTTATATATTTGTTGGGACCATATAATTACATAAGACTTTCAAAAAAAATATTATTCATATTATCTTATTGAATTTGAAAATTTTTAAATTAGCCTGCTTTATAATCAGATAAATTTATTATTTTATGATAATTATTAATTTATAGAGGTTTGACAATATATATATATGATAACTAAAAGTTTTGATAGTGATGGTTGCTTTTAGTACTGGCTGCAGAGATTAGAACAGTCTTCTCGTCATTTTTAAAACTGGACCGATGAACGAACCGGAAAAACTCTTGAGCATAAACTATAAACTTAGAAACAGGAGGAAAATGGCTTGGATCTCCTGGGAAAAGCTTAAACAGCCTAAGAGAGACGGTGGTTTAGGCTTTAGGGACATCAAAAGTTTCAATGAAGCCTTACTGGCCAAGCTGAGCTGGCGAATACTCAAAAATCCTTCATGTCTACTAGCCCGAGTTCTTAAAGGCAAATACTGCCCCCAGGAACCCTTCCTCATGGTCACGCGATCACCTTCTGCATCTCACGGTTGGCATAGCATTCTAATAGGCTGTGATCTACTCGTCAAACATCTCGGTAAAGCAATAGGAAATGGAAAACAAATCAGCTTGTGGATGGACCCATGGCTCTCTTTCAAAAAGCCAACGGCACCTGTAGGACCAGCGCCTCTAGAATCCAAAGATCTTACCGTCTCACATCTCATATCTGAGGACGAAGGTACCTGGAATATCCCCACTATCGAGAAACTCCTCCCGGAATACAAACACCAGATCCTCAGCATCAAACTCTGCTCCTCACATCTTGACGACAAAGACATCTGGCTCCCCAACCCCTCGGGCGAATACTCGACTAAGTCTGGATATCACGCAGCCCTATCTACATATAAACAGACAGAATCAGATCAAGCACCAGATGATACCTTTAATTGGAATGCGGAAGTTTGGAATGGGCAATTCTCCCCAAAGATAAGGATGTTCCTCTGGAAAATCCTCCGAGGAGCACTTCCCCTAGGCGAGAATTTTGAAAAGAGAGGAATGGGAGCCACTGCAATGTGTCCCAGATGTGGAGAATTGGAGACAGCACACCACTTGTTTCTCCATTACCCCTTTGCTGCAAGTATATGGGAGATTGCTCCCTTCACATCAACCTTTGATCCATCTTCATTCCCGGACTTCAAATCGGGCTTCCTCAATGGCAAGAAGCAGATCTGCCTCCCACCCTCTGGTGCTGGGCCAGGCCCTCTATTCCCATGGATCTGCTGGCAAATCTGGATCTCCAGGAACCTCCTCCTTTTCGAAAAGCGCTTTTCAGATTCAACTAGCTTTATTTCCGATTTCTGATTTGATAACCAAATTCAAATTCTCGGTTCGAGTTATTAATAAAATATGAAAATTAAAAAAACAATTCAACCGTTCGATCAAACCCAAAATACAAATCAAACCTGAGACGGATCCATGATAAGGTTGTGTGGAGTCAATGAATGTCTGAAATAGTAATATATTACCATTGATGATAAAAATGTGGAAAATAGGTAGAGGGCCTGACTGGTTTAAACGCAGCAGTTGCGGTTGCAAGTGCGAGTGCAGAAGTGTGCAGAAGCAGGCGATTGTGGTTTGGAGCATTATTAAGTAGTTTGTACAACTGGTTAAATTTTTTAAGGTGGATCTGTTTACGGAATATTTTTGACTGGCAAACCAGCGAATGTTTAAACATAAAATTACTAAAATAAACATCAAAAATAATGACAAAAAAACTATATTCTTATACTTAATATCAAAATCACTAGTTCAAAATAATTAATAAAAAATAAAAATAAACATTATATAATTATTTTAAAAATTAATAAATTTTATAATAACACATTCTATTTCAATTGTTGGGAATATTACTCAAAATTGTGTCTAGTAATATAAAGATTAGTAGAGTTAAGATTTTATAATTGTTTTTAACGTGATTTTTTATTATTTTTTTTTCTATCATGATTTTATTTTATTTTAATTTTTTTATTCAACCGCTACCGCCTGCAACTGCAAACGCTGGCGCAATATAAAATGGTACGGAGCGGTTTGCAGTGATTTGTATGATTGTTATAAAACATTACTAACCGCTACCAACCACAAACACATTATTTACAGATGATAACGGGTGAACCAATCAACACCATAATCTCGGTTCTTCAATTTGAATTAACAAAACAGAACCGTATAAAACAAACCGATGTCACTCCTCAACGGGTCAACTTCTAGAAGTTGGAATTGGCCGCACGTCTCATGCGTTTACAATTCTAACAACCAATAAGCTATAGAAGTTACTTTTAAATAATTTTTTTTCAGTTTAGTAATGTCGTGGAAGTCACCTACATGGCTAAATGGCTAAATATTATTTTATTACCATTTACTTTAAGTTATCTTAATATTCCTATCTTTGATTCTTTATATACGACATGTTATATTTATCCTTCAAAAGTCCAACTAATCAAAACATGGACAAAAACGAAGAAACCGAATACCCCGTCCACATTAACTACAACGAAAATGACTCATCAGTCTCTCCCTTCATCAGCCACCTCATACCGGCTATAAGACGAAAAGTGACCAGTTCATTTTACGGGTTCACACTTTTATTGGTGATTTTCTCTAGGGACTACGCATATTCCGTGTCATGCCTAGAGAAACTCGTGAAGGCTCTCGAATCATCGCGCAGTGATGAGAACAGTTACGTGGTGGTTCCGGTGTTCTATGGCGTAAGTCGATTAGCTGTGAAACAACAATTGGCGACGTTCAGTGATGCCTTCACAGAGCACCGAAGGTCATATCCTGCGGATCAGGTGACTAAATGGCGACGTGCGCTAAAGGAAGCCGCGGAATTCCTAGGCCATGAGTATAATGATGAATCAAGGTATGCGATACAACAACTTCACTAAAATTTATTTGTGTCTTAATGTGACGTTCAAACCAAACATAATAAGATGCCACTTGACGTTCACTATATGTACCATCAGTGGCGGAGGCAGAAAAATTATTGGCGGAAGCAGAAAAATTATTGACATGGGTCACAATATAAAAAATTATCTAAATTTTAATGAAAAAAAAATTGACCATTGATAAACATCTCAAAGGTATACTCTACGCTCATTCATATTTTGAAATTGTTTTATTACAGTTTCATTTGTGATAGTTTCAAGCACCTATATTTTAATTAAAAAAATTAGAAAATCGTTTAAGACTCATCACAAATGCTAATACACGAAGTCGTCTTCACAATTTTTACTGCAGAAAAACACTTTTTCACGGTTGCGGTCGCAACAAAAAGAATATAAAAATATATTAATCTTAATATAATATTTAAAAATTTGTGTGCTATTATCACAAACATCGATGATTGGTGTCTATATTTTAAATTACTTAAAATAAATAGTCAAGCAACTTAACTACCTCTTAAGGGATTTCCAAAAATAAAAGGGGAATTGAAGTTTCATTTGAATTAGTTGAAATTTATAGTTTGTTGATCAATATGCAGCTACCCTTTTTAGAAAACAAAAACTAATGTGAAGCTTCTTTTCTAAATATGTATAAGTTTTAGAATGAGTCCACAACTTATAAATTAATATTTTAAGATGATTTCTTATTAATAGTGCAACTTCCATTTCTAAATTATACTACTTTATCAATATGAGATAATTTATAATCCAACAATTCAATTTTTTTCTTGATTTCACCTGGGTCAGCTGACCCACCTCCATAGGTGCTGCCTCCGCCACTGTGTACCATTTTATAAGGTTACTATCAGAAAAAAAGAAAAAAAAGTAGCCATTTTCATTTAAGAACAGTAGTATGATGTGTTTTTTCAGTTTATTTTTAAATTAGAATACTTCATAAAACCCATTGCAACCAGGGACAGTCTCAACTAAACTGATGAATCATTCAACTTTGTTTCTAACCTAGTTTTTGATTGATCACATACATAATTTTCTATTGGAAAATTTGGAAATATTTAGGATTTGTTTCTAAAACTTTTAATAAATTAAATATATTTATTGTTTTAGAGAGAAAAGGTTAAATAAACGTTAACTTTCCTTGGTGTTAAATAGGTACAACTGAAAAGTTGATATATAACAAAAAATTATTAATCGATGTATTTTTCTGGAACTTGAAAACGTTTGTGTATTGAAGTGGTAACAGAATTTCAGTCTGTGTATTTTTATGTAATTTTTTAAACTATTTAAAACTTTATATTACTTTTTGCTATTTTTTTTCATTTACAATTTTTTATTGGTAATTTTAGATTCAGTTTTGAAAACCTTAAAAAAAAAAAGAAAAATACAAAACTTTATATGCTAAATTAATATTCGATAAATTAATAAAGTTTTCTGTTTTCAAAATTTAGTTTGATGACCAAATAATACTTCAATAAAATTAATAGCTATATAAATTAAAAATAATATTATAATGTTATATCTATTCTATTAAAACAGAAATATTTTTGTGTTCAAACATGATTTCTTTCATTTTAGGTTATTTTGTTTGTGAATAACTATTATTCTTAATCCCAAACAAGTTCATTTAATATAATCTCAATAAAAATTGTATTTTAATTTATATTTAAAAATAATTCCGAAATTTCAAATTTTAATTTAGATTAATTTTGATTTCAATAAATTTAGATTAGATTAGTTATTAAAAATCACAAAATTAGTTGTTATTATATATATATATATATAAATATATCTTTACAAAATAAGATATTAGTTTTGATTTAATTTTAATATTCAAATTTAAATAATATTCTCATTGATAAACTATGTTATTGTAATATAAACGGGTAGGTTAAAATTATGTTTTATAATCATGATTTTTTTTCAGATTAATAAAATGGACGTGTTAGATTTATGTTTTTATAATTATAGTTATATTTAATGCTTGAAATAAATTTTAAATAATAAATTAAATCTAAACATAAAAATAAACTTTTGTCAGTAATTTAAAAAATTATATCTATAAAAAACATAAATTACATTACAAATTTTGAATTAAAAAAATGATTCCCTATGTAGGGGTAAAATCTAGTAATAGGTTTAACTGTCTTTAGAAGGTACACATCACATCCATTATCAATTTCATAATCATTAATATCTGAGTATTTTACTTATAATTAAAAAAAAGAGATTTCAATAATTATAACTATGAAAATTCATATGTTAAAAAAATTATATATACGAAATTATTCATTTAAAATATGCAAGAAAATTATCGCATATCTATTTCCATTTAGCGAATATAACTACTTATTACAGTATAACTTCTATAAATTAATACTCGATAAATTAATACCTCGATAAATTAATACATTTTTGAAGTTCTAAATTAGTTTTTCGGGCTGATTTTTATATTGATAAATTAATAATTCGATAAATTAATAGAATATTGTAGCTCCAAAGTTATTAATTTATGGAGGTTTAACTGTAGTTTTTTTACAGTGAAGAATCCGAATTTCTGGAAAAGATCGTTGAATATGTGTTTGAGATACTCTATCCTACAAAAGAGATTGGGATCTACAGCCGCCAAATGGAAATAGAAGACTTACTATGCAAGCAAGCATGGGGCCTTCGCACCCTAGGTATCTTCGGTGAGCCTCACATTGGCAAGACAGTACTGGCTAGAGCGGTCTTTGGCCGAATGTTTGGAGGCTATGATGCTACTATCTTTGTCAAAGATTTCCACACCGAATTTACTGAGATGAGACTTGAGCCTTTGCCTAGTGATTTCTTGTGTGGGACTCCGATGGAAAAGTTTGACCTAAACGATTCTGATTCCGTGCCATGCCATCGCCAAAAGAGGGTTCTTGTTGTTCTAGATGATGTGCGAATTGCTCAAGATGCAAAGTCTTTTCTTGGAGCGGTTGATCAGTTTGGTCCAGGGAGCTTGATCATCATAACCTCAAGAGATAAAACAGTTCTTGAGGAGTGCCAGATGAATGAAATTTATGAGCTTAAAGGTCTAAATGATGAAGACGCTCTGAAGCTTTTCACAAGGTGTGCCTTTGGGAATGGAGTGATAGAGCAGAATCTTCTGGATCTTTCAATGAGAGTGATTAAATGTTCTGATGGGAACCCATCTTCTCTCATTTCACATGCCCAGGAGCTAAAGGGTAAGACTATGATCGAAATGGAGTCAATGTTGCTCAAGATATGTCATGATGTCCAAGACCGTCTCAAACTATTTGAAGGGCCCCCAGTACACATCGTCGATGCATGTGTTGACACTATGAAGAACACATCTTTTTGCTTGATCTCCTATGAAAATGACTATGAGCATGGCGTTTTGGTATGTCACATTCTGATACATTTATATGTTACAGGATTTTGCGAATGTCCTATACTCACAGAGCAGTTGGCTTTCTTTTTAATTCTTGTTTTGATGTGTTTTCAGGACACTAGATATCTATCTGAGAAGCTCCATCACAGTCACGTCTCTGAGTCTGTACCAAGTGCTCTAAGGGATTCCCACTTAGATCATGATCCTGCAGTGCAAACCTTGTCCCTAAACCCATTTTTTATATACCAAGAATTTGCTTGTCAATTTCAGAAACTTAAATTTTGGCGATGGGGACGATATTATAAGGTAAGGGAAACCACAAGAACTCAAAGAATATAGGAAAAAAAAACCATTTGCATTGATAATCTAAAACGAGACTTAATTTATAGCACAAAACAATCATAAAACGACATTAAATCTGAAACGGAGGGAGTATAATTTCACACATTAATTTTACATAGATATTTTGCATTATTGAAGTTACATGGATTCATCTTTCCATTGTTGTTTTTTTTTCTGTGTCAGAGCTTCTCGATGTTAAGGAGAATCAAGCTTGGACAATTAGTGACATTGGTTGAAGTTGAAGAAATTTCGGAAGCACGTCAACTTGAGCATATTGATCTTCAAGATTGCACAAGCCTGGAGAGCATACTAGTCACTGATAAGCTAGAACGTCTCCAAGTTCTTAATCTTTCTGGTTGCAATGGGATCAAACGTTTTCCAAATATTGTACGAACCATTAGAGAATTGAATCTTGAAGGGACAGGTATAAGAGAAATAAGATCTGAAACAACACAGTTCTCTCAACTGGTAAAACAACAAAGTACCCCTACAAATTTGGAATTAACACAAAGAGGTTCTGAGTTTCCATGATTTTGAACTATAACTTGATTTCTAAAACCAATGTGATTTCCAAAACTCTAGTTAGAAAGTTAACATGAAAGAGAAAAATATTAAAATGTTTCTCTATTTTGAAAGTTTCTAAATAACAATGTGTGAAAAAAAAATGTAAAAAGAAATTTAAGACCATGTATCTGTGATTGTGATGTTGTAATTCTTTATGTATATTTATGAACCTGTTTTTCTTTTTTTTTCACAACAAGAAACACCCGTTTTGCGACTTCCATTCAACCAAACGATTTGACCTTGGTAATTGCATGAATCTTGTGTCACTGCCAGAGCTCACTGCATCGCTCTCCATCCTGACACCAAATTATTTCTTGAGAGTCTATATGGCTCACCACAAATGGCTCTCCAATTTATTAACTTGCTTCAAAATGAATCACCAAGCGACAGAACTCATTCTACATTCAGACTGTGCATATGCTATCTTACCAGGTGGAGAACTTCCTGCATATTACACTCATCGAGATGATAAAAATTTCCTAACCGTCATTTTAAAGCTTGCATCGTGGTTGACTCAAGAGTATGGTGGCCATCGTGATTCGCCTAAGCACCATATCGATTCCGTATACCTCCTGAATAATATGAACCATCAAATGAACCTTGACTCCTTGTTTCTCACAAAGAACTGGTAAGATCTTCACCAATCTGAAGAGCTTCTGGCTGACGAAGCCACACCACATTTCAGGTTAAATAAAATGCAGTAAACAATGTTTCTCCATAAGGTTCAAGTATCTTTTGGCGACAATCCAAAGCAGGGGAAAAAGAACAGATTACACTCAAGAACAGGTTCCTCCAGTAACAGCATAGATAAAACCTTTGAACCCTAAATTAAATGCAGAAAATTTCTGTTACACAGAGAAAGTCAAACTCAAATGCTCTCCACCGTAATCAACCTACTGAGAGATCATCCTTACCTGATACAACGGCTTGTGGGCTGAAAGGTGACTGTCAAAATCAGAGATTAAAAGACAACGGCAGGGGTCAACATAATGAAAGGGGTTGGTTATTAGTGTGCGAGAGAAGTGTGGAAAGTATTTTCTTAATTCAACCATGTTAAAGTCTTACAGAGAGCTTAATTAATATTAGAGTCACACTCGATGGATAACTAAACACTAACCAGAAAAGAGCAACATAAGGTCCAAGGAACAGGCTCAAATGAACAGTTTCTATAGGGCGTAGATAAAAAAAATACCTTTATACTCTGTAACTTGACACTAAAGACTCTTAAAATCAGGTAAGCTCTGATCTAATCTTTAACGACCCTTTTTGCACTTGAGTTCCTGTTTACTATGAAGATCCAAAGGGTTCAGCAAAGGATTTGCTTCACCAATGTCATCATTTTCCCTCTCTGGTGACACACCATACAGATAATTTTGTTTCTCCTCTGAAACTGCCAGGCCTTTTGAGTTGAATCACATCTCTACTCATGCTGGATTTTTTTTCATCAAGAGTTGGAGTTTTGTCTAAGAATGTGCTTCACCTGGAACAGATTCATCTCTCCCTTTAAGATTCTCAACAATGTGCTTAACCACTGAATTTACCTTTTCTTCTTGGAGTTACACTTGCATCACAGTTTTAATGACGCTGGATATTATCATTCCTTATTGTTTTTTGCTTCTTCTTTGGCCGTCCGTCATCAACCCCATTTGAAGTTTCATGAAAACTCAATTGGGCAAGCATATCATACTTGGCTTCATGAGAACTGCTTTTGCTTTTATCCTTTGCATAAACCAAACCCAAACCGCACTTCAACACCTTGAATTTTCCTTTTTCACTTGTACCGCCTGTCACAGTAAATTCAAGGGAGGCTTCAGTAGAACTGCATTCATCAGAGTTCTCGTCTTCAGGACATTTTATAGTATATGGGCAACTGGTGTAGCCAATAAAGACATGGTCTGACATAATCTTATCTTCTCCGCCTCCCTGTCTGGTCCAACTTCCTACTGGGCATGTAAATGGGACCCAAGACTCGTCTTCGACTTTTACTTTAAAGGTGCATGTCACTGACAAGCGGCTGATTTGATCTTTGCAGTCAAGAAATGAGACTACAGCACAAAGAGCTATTCCAGCAAGCCTCTTGTCATGCCAATGTGGGAGGAGTTTTACTTTTAGCTCGGATCCAACTGTTTCATGGCAAAACCACGAAGGCACATCACATCCAGGAAAGCAAGTGCTGAACAAAGCCTCTGAAACAAGACCCTGCAAAGTTACAATAAAGGAAAATCATAAAACTGCAGAGTTTCTTTGAAAATGAATAATTTGAGCGAAGGGATACATAGAGCGACAAAGAGATAGATACAGGTATAGAGACAGACCCCACTGTAGTGTTTACGAGCATACGACAGCAGCTGGCATTTCCTTTGAGCATACGAGGCGATTTCCTCCTTTGCATCTTGCTCCAGGTTCTCACAGTTGGTGAAGATGAAACTGGAATGGTTCTGCTCAGTTGGCATGATACGGGCCAGAGGCTTCGAAACCGTCTTCAGCAAACTACAACCATGTGCATCTAAGCACTGAAGATTTGGTGGAAACTCTGGAACAGATGTAAGACTTTTACAATACTTCAAATCCAGCCATTTTAGTAGAGAAAGTTGTCTGATGCCAGCAGGAAGGCAGCTGATCTTATCATTTCTGCTTAAGCACAAATACTGTAGTGAGGGTATTTGTGGCATCACTGCTATGGCTGTCCCGTCCAAAAGTAGAATGTTTAAAGAGTTCATGTTGATGATTTCTGGGAAATCCTTGAGATTCAAACAATCAGAGAATATCAGTTCTTGAAGAGCTTTCAGTTCACCAACCCGGTCTGGGATCTTCTCCAGCATTCTGCAGTTTTTCATATTCAGTACAACAAGTCTCTGGAGGCTCCCCATGTTGGTAGGAAGCTGACTTATTGCTGTACCATCTAAGTATAGAGCTTCTATATTTTCTGAAATCAATGGAAATTCCTTAAACTTTGAGCAGCCGCTGAGAGTAAGCGTTTTCAGAGAAATTAAATTCATCTCTGGAAGAGATTCAAAACTTGTGCACCCTTTCAGATTCAGGAAAGCAAGCCTTTCCATATTTTTCATACCACATGGCAACGTTTTCAGTGTCGTGCAGCCTTCAAGGTTCAATCTTTGAAGATTTTCAGCCTTTGATAAGCCTGACAAGCTAAACAGCTTACTTGAGTGATTGAGATCGACCCACTTTAAGGATGATGTATCCTGTGACAAAAATAAAATAAAAAAATAAATAAATAACGTTTTACCACCAGTAAAAAACACAGGTATCCAGACTAATTTAACCATTCACAAAGGCTATCAACAGATTATTCAGAGACACACCTTGTCGTCCTCCCAAAGATGTTCAATCTCGCTGTAGGGCAGCTTAAGGTCGACAAGATTAATCGGGTTGAAATCATTCGGAAGCTCCTTCAATGGGGATTTCAGCCAGTGGAGGCATCGAACCTCTTTCAATGGTAGCTTAAGTCCATCAGGAATGTTGATCTTATTTTTGGTTTTACATTCGTGAGGACAATGAGAATTGTAAAACTTGAGATACCGGAGATTACGCATATTGATGAAGTGGTCGCAGTCTAAGCTCGTTTCCTCTTTCACTTCAGACAAGTCTAGGAAGATACCTCTGACAGTGGCAGCTTTCTAACGACCAAAACCAACAATGACAAACACGAAATTAGCAAAGAGAAAAACAAAAAACGCAAGCCTCAAACAATAAAGTTTAGAGGAACTTATGGTCTCACCATTTTATTTTGCAGTACATTAATTACGCCTCCCTTGATTATGTCTTGATGGAGCCACAGCCTCCGTTGTCCGGTACAATCTTGAGTGGATGGTTTAGGATCAAGTTCCCTAGAAAAAGTATACAGTAGATCATGCATCTCCACTCGGCCGTCACAAGTATTAATGAAGAATTTATCCGCAAGAGCTTTTACTGCACTTGTTGCTTCAGCAGATATGGGGTCCGGTGAAGCCAGTAAACTTTCTACATAATCCTTTTCCTGGGATCTGAAACAGGCTATGTCGAGAAATGCATCTTTCTGCTCTGAACTCAGTTCATCATAACTCGCTTGGAAGACATGGAAGACATGACTTCCAACAATAGGGCATGGGGTCTGTGCGAGTTTCTTGAGTTTTGAATTCCAATGATTCATATCCTTCTTGTTAAGCTCTACACCCAACATTTTGAGAGCTAGTGGATGGCCTCTGGCGTAATGTACAACTTCTTCTGACAGCTTCATGTAGTCTTTCTTGGGAGGATCACCTCCAAAGGCATGGTAGTGAAAGAGTTGTAAGCTGTCTCTGTGGTCCAATTTCTGGACCACGTAAGTATCGTGAACCAGACCACTTATTAAGGACGTGTCACTTGTTGCAATGACAATCCTGCTTCCTTCACTAATCCAGTCACGTCTCCCGAGAAGAGCATCTATCTGTTCCCTTTTACTAACATCATCAAGAATGACAAGAACTTTACGTTTAAGCAGTTGATCCTTGTACTTCTCGAACGGGTCCTCAACACTGGGATCTTCCAACGGCAGTAACTCTTCCACAAGCAATGAGGACAAGGAACTAATACAGGTGCCCTTTGTTTTGCGGATATCATCGACTAGCGCGTGCCTTGTAAACTTACGCTGCCATTTCTTAAAAAGCTCTTTCATGAGTGTGGTTTTGCCAATTCCCGGCATCCCAACAACTCCAATGATACGAGTACCCTTGTGCTTGTCACAATCCAACATCTCTTTCAGTTCCTCCAGGCGTTGTTTGATACCAAACGTCTTATGCTTTACGCCTCCTGAGAAAGTCCCAGCATTGCTACTTTCTGAAGGATCAACAGAGACATTTTGGCTAGCTATACATGAAATGTTGAGCAGGACTGTCTTAACCGCCTTCACAATTTCATTGACTGCTTGGCCCTCGTCGCTGAATTACATTAGTGAGGAGAATAACTATTAAAGTCATGAAGTTCTTCAAAGTCCCATGAGAAAGAATTGCTAAATAGAGATTGCTAAATATGAGTGAGGAGAATAACTAGTTAACTACAATCTCTCAATTCAATTGGTCTAGCTTTTTTTTTCTTAATTTAAAAAAGGAACCTTTGGAATTACATTAGTGAGGAGAATAACTATTAAAGTCATGAAGTTCTTCAAAGTCCCATGAGAAAGAATTGCTAAATAAGAGATTGCTAAATATGAGTGAGGAGAATAAAACTAGTTAACTACAATCTCTCAATTCAATTGGTCTAGCTTTTTTTTTTCTTAATTTAAAAAAGGAACCTTTGAAAAAAAAAGGGAAAAAGTCTTAACCTTTTTTCGTCCACAGTGATCCCGAAGAGATTAGGAATCGACTTCAAGACTTCCTCCCACTTCTTCTTCTTCTCATCACCCTTCACCAGAATCCATAACTTATCACCGAAATCTCCCTTCAAATATCTCACGGTAGATGGCTCCACCTTATAGAAAATGGGAATCACCACCAGATTGCCTTGTTCCATGCAATCATTCATCTTCTCCACCTCTTTCAAGCACCAGTTTGACTCGGTGTAGCTCTCAGAGAAGATAGCCAGAGCGATCCTCGACCCCTCTATCCTCTTTAAAAGGGAATCTAAAGGTTTGCCTCGGTCTTCGAATTCGTCCATAAAGACATTGATCTTATTCCTTTTAAAGGCACGGACGAGATGGCTGACGAATCCAAGGCGTAAATCCTTTCCCCGGAAATTGATGAACACTTGATGTTGCGGATGAGGTACCGTGGAAGAAGAGGGAGCCGCCATGGTTTATTTTTTCCGACGAGCAAGCTTGGAAGTTGACCGTCAAGTGAGACTAAACACAAAGACGAAAAACAAGTCGACGAAGTGGGCAAAAAAGAAAAAAGATTTATTTAGGAGGAGACTTTTTAGCTTTTACCTCTCCAAGTCTTCATTTTTTGTCTTTTATAATAATGGAGATCCCAAAGCCAGCTCTGCCCGAACCCACAAATGACCATGAAAGCTTTTTTCTTTTCCATTTTTTTTTTTTCCTTTTTGCCATGAATGGCCATGAAACTTCTCGAAATGAATCTTATTTTATAATAATAAAAGTTGAAGTTAAATCCATATAAAGGTATTTACATAAAATTTAAAAGGATAATTTTATTGGTTCACATCAGTAATCAAAATTAAGGAAAGTTTACAAATTTTAATATTATTACTGAATAAAAAAATTAAAAAATTGACAAATTCTAATATTATTACTGAATAAAGAAATTATGTATAATTTTTTTATTGGTTCAGCTCAACATTGAAAATTTTAAAGTTTCCAAATTCTATTATTATTTTTAAATTATTAAAGATAAAAAATTATATACAAACTTTAATTTAATAATAAAAATTAAAATAAATAATATTAGAAAAGGAAATTTTAAATTTAAATTAGATGTATACACACATATTTAGAGACTTTTACATTATGAGTTTCACTAAAATATGAGTCATTACAACGTAAAAGAACCAACTTGACTAATCTATATGTTTAACTATAATGAAAAAACTAGATTTTAACCTCGTGCGTCCGCACGAGAAAGTTTTATTTTTTATTTCTAATATAAGTTGCATTTATCTTTTTTGTTTATAATATCTTACATGTTTTGACAAACTAACCCGTATAAGACTATAATTATAATTGTATAACCCTATAAATATTTACTAATATGAAATATTTGGACCAAATGATTATGAAAAAATATAATAAAATATTTATTTATTATTTGTGCTATTAAAAAAATGTGTATATATATATATATAAACTAGCTATTCTGTTAGTTTAATTGTCTCAAATCATCTTAATATCTTACAAGTTTTAATAAATTAACTCATGGACCTTAAATATATATATATATAACTCTAATCAGCTCGATCATATTATTGTATAATATAAATAATTATTAATCTCAAATATTTAATATTTTAGACCAATTAATTATGATAAAATACGATAAAATATTTATTTACTATGCATTTTATAAAAATATTATTTAAATTTAAAATTTTAAATTAAATCTCTCCTGTATTTAAGAAATTTTAAAGTATTAAAATTATTATCTAAGTTTTTGTAATAAAATTTATTGATATATTTTTTTGAATTTTTTGAATTTAAATTAAATTGAATGCAAATTTTTGTAACTAAATTTAATTAAATTTTTAATAATTTGAAATTTAAATTAAAGACGACCTAGATTTTAGGAAATCTAAAAATATCTAAATTAATAATTAATTTTCGGAAATTAAATATAAAAATAAAATAAAATATTATAAAAAAAAAACTTTAGGAGTGTTTGGATGCAAGCACTAAATGTGCTTCTGTTTTAATAGAATAGATATATACACAAAACCATTACAAGCCGCTTTAATATTGAAAAAGAGACTGTAAAATATTCAAAGCTTAGCCACCGATTTTGAGAAGAATGATAAATTTCAAGCAATCCGAGAAACATATCAAGTGATTGATACTCGACATTTTGAAAAACGAAGCACTGAAAATAGAGAAAGAGGTTCCATCATTAAGACGAAGGAGACTGATGTATTCGATGAATATTTTTGAAATAACATAGCATCAGATGGGGTTTTAGCAACCTAACTTTAACCACAAAGGTAACAATTAGCTGATCAAGCAGCATCCGAATACATTCGGTAAGCCTCAAAACAAGGAGGAGAGACCAAAATCATGACACTTTTGAAAAACAAAGCACTGAAAATAGAGAAAGAAGTTTTGTTAACAAAAAAATAATTTATAGAAAAATAAAAATTGAAGCTATATGCCTCTAAGGACTAAGGACATCTACATAAGATATAAATGTCAATTTTATTAGTGTGCATCAATAACTAAAATTAAAAAGTTTCTAAATTATAAAATTACACTAATACAAAACAATATAGAAAATTTGTTAATTAAAAATTATTTTATTATTATTAACATTTAATGCTATATTATTTTCAAGACATCCACATCAATATTTAAATTTTTCATTTTATTCGTATATATCAAAATTTTAAATTATAAAAAGTTCTCCAATTTTAATATTATGGTTAAGAAAATAAATTAAAAATAAAAAATTCTATTAACAAAAAAAGCCAACATGATATTATGATCTCCATTATCACTGTTTAAATTACAAAATTAAATTTATTATCTATAAAAAAATATATGCTATTTATACAAGTTTAAGTTACTTGATTTCAAAGCTTTTCACGTAGAATTTTAAATTACTAATAATTATGATTTATATTCATCTAAATTTTTTTCATGTATGCAAAACATATTTCCACATAATCTCATGTAATATATTATGCTAAAATGATCGAAAAAATTATATTTTGTATATTCGACTTGGAATTGCAATATATTAATGTAGAAGTTCTTAGTTTTGAGTTGTTCAATTTATTATTTTTTTTTAATAATTTTTATGTATTAAATTGTACTGGCTTTGCCTTCTTAATTATAATTAGAAGAAATAAAATTAATATAATAAAACTGATATAATCATACGAAAATCATTAAAATAAAGAAATATGATATATTTATTAAAAACAGATATAACAAGAATAAAAGTGAACATGATGAAAAAAATTTATTTTTATTATAACAGATGACGTATAACCATTGAAAAATTATTCAAACGTTTACACAACCAACTGACAAAAATATACTTAATTCACAATTTTTTATGATTTTATTAATTTTACATTCAAGTATTATTTTACTTTCAAATTTAAAGTTGATATTAATCTCAAATCAAACATTTTATTTATTAAATTATTTTTTAAATTAATTTAATATTTTTAAATTAATTTAACAAAATAAATATTTGTATCGGTTAACAAGAGAACAAATATTAAATATTAAATTTTATTGTTTTTAAAGAACACATATATATGCTATGAATGGTAACTAAAGCACTGCGGATTTCAAAGCAATTTTTAGAAAAACGCAGATGTTTTACCAATCAAAGATTTCTCTAATACAAAAGCGTTTTTTTTAAAACAATAATAACATAACGCTTTTTTATCTAATGAGTAAAATCAAGTACAGCACTCATAAATCCGAACGCAATCGTTGTCCAGCGGTTTTCATTAAAAACCGCACTTGACTACTAATTTTTTTAAATAATATATTTTTTAATTATTAAACATATATGCTATACTATAGTTTTTTATCATATGATATATTGATTACAAATCGAAAGATTATATATTTTTCTTCAAAATAAAACACAAGAATAAAAAGTAATTATTGACAAAAAGAATAATTATTAGTAATGAAATATTCAAGTATTAATTATGATTATGTTTTGAGCAACTTGATTAAACAAAATAAAATTTTTAAAATGTTTATTTTAAAAATAAATTTGATATTTAAGATTTATAGACAATAAAAATGTTTCTTCATTAACATTAAACAGATAATTAAATTTCTATATATACTAATTATTATTATATTTACAATATTCAAACATTTTATTATGGACCGTAAACTGTTTTTCACCAATCAAACATTATTTTGTACCGTTTATTTAGGATAAACCGCACTTGTTCCGCAAATTAATTTTTCCGCTCGTACCGTAGTTGAACCGTACTACACTCTTAAACCGTTTCTTCCGCACAACCAAAAATGCTGTCACCATTCAGAACCATAATTAGAATAAAAGTGAAAATGATGAAAAAATAATTATCTTTATGATTGAAAGAAGTGAATGTATAATATTTTATCATCAAGTCAATACTATGTTTAAAAATAGCATTTGATTAATTTGTAAAAATATAAGTTGGTTTGGGTATATTAACTTATAAGTGTTTAACCAGTATATAGATTTTGAAATAAGACATATTGTATATAGATTTAAAACAAAACCGTAAAAAATCTCAAAATTTATATAAAAATTATTAGATTAATACCATAATATATTTAATATATTAAAACACTAATATATAAAATTTATATCTTAATAAATATAATTAAGAGTTGTTTACACAAAATGACACTTGTTGAGTTATTAATTACAGAATATGACACTTTCAAATTTGATGGCACTTTTTTTAAGTTTACATACGTGAAATCCCATTTTGGTCCCTCCTTCCATTATATTGAGTTCAGATCCGGTTCAATTTAAATTGGTTAACCGATATACACTTTTTCATGACATCATGATTATTTAATGTATTTTAGATAGTTTTGTGTGAATAATGCAATTTGGATAAATTCTTGTGGATAAATCGTTTTGGATACATGGTTATCCATCCATTTGGACACAAAGAATCCAACGCTTATAATAATTAAATTAGTTCAAGTTTAGACATTTTATGGTTATGGCTGGTAATTAATTTAGAAAAATCAAGGCAACTCTGTTTTTTTTGTTCCTTATATATTTAGCAAACGATAGTTTTATGATAGATTTATCCACGTGGACAAAACCCAATGAATAGGACGCGATCATATCAATATAGTCCAATCTATGTGGTCATAGACCATCCGTATTTAATAGAAAGAAAATTCTTTATGGTTTGATGTTTCTAGTTGTTGATTTTGCGGTAACAATGAACTGATTGTACACAGAATGCATCCACATTAAAATTTATCACCTTTAGTACACATGAACAAGTCCAAAACTGAAAATAGTGATCTTTGATAGTAAATAACCATCGCAGGTGGAAAAAAAAATCAAATTTCGCCGGTGCTTGCTTAGTGACTTTTCGATATTAGTTCATATTATCTGCACAAAAGCATTTGTAGTACACATGAACACGTGAATATATCGGTATATAGATTTTGAAATAAGACATATTGTATATAGATTTAAAACAAAACCGTAAAAAATCTCAAAATTTATATAAAAATTATTAGATTAATACCATAATATATTTAATATATTAAAACACTAATATATAAAATTTATATCTTAATAAATATAATTTTTATTAATAAAATACCCACATGTAAAAAATCTAGTCATATTAGAAAGGGTTATATAAAAGACGAGGAACAAGTCGACCAAGTGGGCAAGGAGGAAACTTTTTAGTTTTTACCTCTCCAAGTCTTCATTTTTTTGTCTTTTATAATAATGGAGATCCCAAAGCCAGCTCTGGCCAAACCCACAAATGACCCAATCCAAAGCCAGCTCTCGAATCAATCATACTAGAAAGTTAATTTCGAGTGCATACAGCAAGATCTAAGGTTTCGGCGGTTCGAAATCATGACTGATTGGAAAAAGGAGGAGCAATATGTCTACATCAGCTGTGTTGACGTGGCAAGGTACTCTTTTGTCAGCCACCTCTCCGATGCTCTCCGGCGAGAAGGCATCTCTGTATTTGTCGATGGCGACGATGTGCTTTCCAAGGAGTTGCAGGAAAAGGTGCAGGGAGCTCGGGTTTCTGTGATGGTTTTACCCGGAAACCGTACGGTATGCCTTGACAAGCTCGTGAAGGTTTCCGAGAAGGCGCAGGCTCTGGTTCCAGTGTTGTACGGCGTAATTCCATTAAATGAAGAATGGCTTGTCAAGCTGGATTCGAGGGGCTTATCACCAGTCCACCAGTCTAGGTATTGGCATTCACTTATGAAGATTAGCGTAAAATGTACATTTTTTTTAATTGACTTGAGCAAATATTGTGTAGGAAGGAATGCAGTGACTCCAAACTTGTAGAAGAGATTGTCAGAGATGTGAATGAGAGGCTCTTACATATGGGACGAATTGGAATCGACTCAAAGGTGGTAGATTTAGAAAACATGATTAACAAGCAACCGTTGGGAATCCGTTGTGTTGGAATTTGGGGTATGCCTGGCATAGGCAAGACAACACTTGCTAGAGCTGTCTTTGATCAGGTATCTGGCGGATTTGATGCTTGTTGTTTTATCGAAGACGATGATAAAGCTACTGATGAGAACAGACTTTATCGTAGTTTGGTGGAACAATTAGTGAAAGACCAGCCTGGAAATAGCGGTACCATTACGAAACTGAAATTGCGTAGAGACAAATTAAAGAATAAGAGGGTTCTTGTTGTCCTCGATGACGTGCGTAATCCTGTGGTTGTAGAGTCTTTTCTCGAAGGGTTTGACTGGTTCGGTCCCGAAAGCCTGGTCATCATAACCTCCAGAGATAAACAGGTGTTTCGCCTTTGCCGAATCAACGAAATATATGAGGTTCAGGGTCTAAATGAGCAAGAGGCTCTTAAGCTCTTCAAGCTGTGTGCATCTATAGAGGATATGAGAGAGCCGAATCTCCACAAGCTGTTAATGAAATTAATAAAACATGCTAATGGAAACCCGTTAGCTCTAAGCACCTATGGCAGAGAGCTGACGGGCAAGAAAAGACCGCCAGAGATGGAGACTGCACTCCTTGAACTCAAGGAACGTCCTCCATTTAAGTTTGTTAAGGCAATCAAGAGCAGCTATTGCACACTCAATGACAGTGAAAAGAACATTTTTCTGGACATAGCTTGTTTTTTTCAGGGAGAAAATGTCGACTATGTGATGCAACTACTCGAGGGTTGTGGTTTCTTTCCACATGTTGGAATCGATGTCCTTGTTGAGAAGTGTTTGGTGACTATCTCAGAAAGCCGAGTTCGGATGCATAACTTGATCCAGGACTTTGGCCGAAAAATACAGATCGAGAGTCGCAGCAGACTATGGGAACCTCACAGCATCAAATATTTATTAGAAGATAATGAAGACGAAGCAAATGGAATTCGGAGTGCTCAGGTCTGTTATATGTTGATTGTTTAATATTTAAAATACTTTTTGAGCCAACCTCCTCTCATTTATCTATTTTTAATATTCTTTCAGGGCACTGAAGAGATCGAAGGCATGTTTCTGGACACATCAGACTTAAGTTTTGATATCAAGCCTGATGCCTTTGTGTATATGTTGAACCTTAGATTTCTGAAGATTTACTGTTCCGATCATGAAATCCGTCCTGTAATCAATTTCCGCAAAGGCTCTCTCCATTCTCTTCCTAATGAGCTAAGACTCCTCCATTGGGAGAATTATCCTCTGGAATCCTTGCCTCAAAATTTTGATCCTAGACACCTTGTTGAAATCAACATGCCATATAGTCAACTTCAGAAACTTTGGGGTGGAACCAAGGCGAGAAAACACTGACATGCCTTTTACATCTCACTTAATACTTGAATGAATTTTCTGTTATTCATTTGGCACTTTTTGTTTTTCAGAATATGGAGATGCTAAGGACGATCAGGCTTTCTCATTCCAGGCATCTGGTAGATATTGATGATATTCTAAAAGCGCCAAATCTTGAGGTAGTTGATCTCCAAGGTTGTAAAAAACTACAGAGTTTCCCACCCACAGGTCAATTGCTGCATCTCCGAGTTGTAAACCTCTCAGGCTGCACAAAGATTAAAAAATTCCCTGAGATTCCACCAAATATTGAGACATTGCATCTCCAGGGTACTGGCATAAGAAAATTACCACTTTCCATTGTGAAGCAAAATGAAGGAGAGCTTGTGAATCTTCTAGCAGAATTCCGGGGTCTTCCAGATGCCTTGAAACTTGAGCTAACAAGTCTGGCGAAATCTAGCTCATCTAGTCAAGATCTTGGCAAGCTTTTTTGCTTGGAGTTGAAAGATTGTTCTCGTTTGCGAATTCTGCCTAACATGGCTAATTTGGAACTTCTTAAAGTTCTTGATCTGTCTGGCTGCTCAGAGCTTAAGACTATTAAGGGTTTCCCACGAAACCTGAAAGAGTTATATATTGCTGGCACTGCGGTAAGAAAAGTGCCACAACTTCCTCAAAGTCTAGAACTTTTGTATGCACATGGTTGTCTCTCTCTGAAATCAATTTGTTTGGACCACGAGCATTTTCCTATGCATTACACGTTCAGTAATTGTTTTGATCTATCTCCACAAGTGGTTAGCGATTTTTTAGTCGAAGTGCTGGATAGTGTAAAACACATACCAAGAGAACATCCGCAGGTAAATATTCACTCTCTCCATCACCCCCTATGTCTCTTTCTCTCTCTTACTCTCTCCCTCTCACACACTCACTCACTCTCACACTCATAACATAACATATCTGACTTATTGCATTACTGCAACAGGAACTCAACGAAGCTCTGGCTTTCAGCTTCTGTGCCCCCTCACACACAAATCAAGATTCCACCCTTGATTTGCAACTAGGATCTTCTGTAATGACACGACTAAAACCTTCTTGGAGGAACACGCTTGTGGGCTTTGCTATGCTAGTGGAAGTTGCATTTTCGGAGGATTTCCATGATGCTACTGGTTTAGGCATTAGTTGTGTTTGCAGATGGAAAAACAAGGAAGGCTTCTCTCGAAGGATAGAAAGAAATTTTCATTGTTGGGCTGCAGGAAAAGTTGTTCCAAAAGTCCAAAAGGATCATATGTTTGTCTTCTATGATGCCAAAATGCGTCCAAGCACTGATGAAGGAAACGACCCCGATATCTTAGCTGATTTAGTTGTATTTGAATTCTTTCCTGTTAACAAGCAGACGAAGCTTCTAGATGATACTTGCACAGTGACAAGATGTGGAGTCTGTGTTATAACTGCTCCAACTGGCAATACAAGTCTTGAGCATATTTCAGCAGATTTGTCCATCGATCCAGTGGAATTTTCCGATAATGGAGTTGATGAAGTATCGAGAGTTACCTATGATGGTTTACAGGAGATAGACAAAGATTTATTTCTTTATATAGCATGTTTGTTCAATGATGACGATTTTGACTTGGATCCACTTATTGCTAGCATTGGCGTGGACATCAGCTCTGGGCTCAAGGCGTTAGCCAATAGGTCTCTTATACGTGTATCTTCCAATGGGGAAATAGTGATGCATAGTTTGGTACGACAAATGGGTAAAGAAATTCTCCATAAACAATCAATGCTGCCTGGTAGCTCAAAAGATTTAACAAGAGACTTTGAGAAGGTGTCCATGGCTTCTTCTTCATCTCGCAATTGGAATAATGATGTTTACCCGAGCTTCTGTTTGCAAGATGTCAGAATTGGATTTCTCAGCCACTTCTTTTCGGCATTCAAACATAAATCAATCAACATATTTAAGGTTACTGTAATAGAGAGAGGCCAGTTGATCCCTGTACAAGCGATAAGAGAGTCGAGGATCTCGATTGTTGTGTTCTCCAAAAAGTATGCTTCTTCAAGCTGGCTTCTGAACGAGTTGGTGGAGATCGCAAAGTGCAGGCAAGAGTTGGGTCAACACGTGATACCAATCTTCTATGATGTTGATCCTTCGGAAGTACGAAAACAGACCGGTGAATTCGGACGGCACTTCAAACAGACTTGTAAGGGCAAAACAGAGGATGAGAAACAACAATGGCTGCGAGCTCTAAACGGCATAACAAGCATTTCTGGATACAATATTGCGAATAGGTACATTTTCTTCAGTTATTATTAGTTGCATTGTCTGAACTGTGACTGATGCAAAAAAAATAAAATAAATAATACTACCACAAATCTTTCTCACATTTGGAATAATGAATTCTATGCTGAAATTAATGATTCCTGTTTGCTAATACTATATGAATCTATAAAGGACTGATATGCATTTTTGGAGAATTTTAGCCAATGAAATCTATTTCTGGTAATTTATGTCTAATAATGATCTTTCTCTTTGTTAGGGATTACCAGGCAAACATGATTGAGAAAGTTGTCCTTGATGTTTCAAACAAACTGGGCCGTACGGCATCAGTTGATGTTTCAAACGAATTGCGCTGCACGTCATCGACTGATTTTGATGGTTTTGTTGGAATCGAAGCTCATCTTGCAAATATGAATTCGCTGCTGTGCTTGGAATCCGAGGAAGTAAAGATGGTCGGAATTTGGGGTCCCTCGGGGATTGGTAAGACTACAATTGCTAGATTTTTATTTAGTGAAATCTCTTCAGAATTCCAACAAACCGCTTTCGTAGAGTTAGCAAGCTTTCGTTGTAATCGCCCCCTGGATGAGTATGGTGCGAAGGTGTATCTTCAGCAACTAGTTTTATCCGAAATTTTTAACCAAACGGATAAAAAGATAAATCATTTAGGTGCGATGCAAGAAAGGCTAAAGGATCAGAAAGTTCTTATCATTTTGGATGGTGTGGATGATCTGGAGCAACTAGAAACTGTGGCAGAAGATAATAGCTGGTTTGGTTCAGGGAGCAGAATTATTGTGATTATAAACGATTCACATCTTCTGAAGGCTCATGAGATTTTTGATATTTACAAGGTGGGTTTACCATCTAAAAAGCAAGCTCTTCGGATGTTTTGCCAATACGCTTTCGGGCAAAAATCTCCACCTGCTGGTTTCATGGAACTCGCAACTGAAGTTGCGGAGAGTGCCGGTAATCTTCCGTTGGGTCTCAAAGTTTTTGGTTCTTATTTGCGAGGGATGCACAAAGAGGAATGGTTGAAAGCGTTGCCTCGGCTCAGAGAAAGCTTGGATGGACAAATTGAGAGCATATTAAGATTTGGGTATGATGGATTATTTGAAAAAGATAAAGCTTTATTTCTTTACATCTCATGTTTATTTAATCATGCTACGGTTGAAGATCTCACACGATTGCTTACAAGCTGCTTCTTAGATGTTAAGATTGGGCTTAAAAGATTAGCTGAGAAATGTATCATAGATATATCAGAACATGGAAATATTACGATGCACCATTTGCAACAACGCTTGGGTAGAGAAATCGTCCGTAGAGAGTGCATTCATGAGCCTGGAAAACGTCGTTTTTTGGTGGATTGTGTGGATATTTGTAACGTCCTTGCAGAAAACACTGTAAGTTTTAAACAAGCCTGTCATCTGATTATTAATAGATGGTAGTCTATGTTAAGGTAAAATGTTTCTATTTGGATACTTTTTTCAGGGGACTAGAAGAGTTTTAGGGATATCGTTAGACATGTCAGAAACCAAGGAGCTTTTAATAAGTGAGAGAGGGTTCAATGAAATGTATAATCTCCAGTTCTTGAAATTCTACACAAAATTGGGGGATAACGAAGTTAAGGTGCTCTTACCTCATGGCCTTGATTTCCTGTCTCATAATCTCAGACTACTGCATTGGGAGCGCTTCCCATTGAGATGCATGCCTTCTAACTTCATTCCAAAATACCTCGTTGAACTCACAATGATAGCTAGCAAGCTTGAAGAGCTGTGGAGTGGAATTCAGGTACATGTTGACTTTTTGTTACCACCAAAATAAAAGTTTTGTTGATGCATCAGATTTTCTAGTTCGTCGTGCCATTGTTGATGTCATCAAAAGGGTGATAAAATTAATGATGAGATACATATGTGAAAAACTAGTAAACGTAAGATAAGAATAATACTAGCAGAAGTTTGGAAATTAATGTTACTGTTGGCAAGATTCTGATTTTTGCTTATACTTTTCACCATTTTTTCTGTTCAGCCTCTTGAATGTCTCAAGTGTGTGAATCTACGGAGTTCCTTAGACTTGAGAGAAATGCCAGATCTTACTTACGCCACCAATCTTGAGACATTGGATCTTGGCGGTTGCTCGAGTTTGATGAAACTTCCTTCCTCTATTGGGCATCTCCATAAATTGAAGGATTTGGACATGGAACGTTGTATATCTCTGGAGGTTCTTCCAACCGGCATCAACTTGGAATCTCTCGATTACCTTAATCTGAATGGATGCTCACGGTTGACAAGTTTTCCTGAAATTTCAAGAAGTATTTCAGATCTCTATCTTGATGGAACTGCGATTGAAGAAGTTCCTTGGTGGATAGAGAACATCTCTGGGCTCTCTTACCTATCGATGAATGGTTGCAACAAGTTAAGGAAGATCTCCCCAAACATATCTAAACTGAAACATCTCGTGGAGGTAGACTTTTCAGAATGCAAAGCACTTACTGAAGATAGCTGGCAAAATTATCATGGGGAGATCTCTACTTCTCTTATGAAAGTAAACCTGTCTGGTAACAGTTTTGAGAGACTTCCCGACACATGGACTTCCATTCAACCAAAAGATCTTGACCTCGGTAATTGTATAAATATCGTGTCACTGCCAGAGCTCCCTGCATCGCTCTCCATTCTGACGGCTAATTATTGCGAATCACTTGAGAGTCTACATGGCTCCTTCCACCACCGACATATGGCTCTCCAATTTATTAACTGCTTCAAACTGAATCACGAAGCGAGAGAATTCATTCTACATTCAGACTGTGCGTATGCTATCTTACCTGGTGGAGAACTTCCTGCATATTTCACTCATCGAGCTGATGGCAATTTCCTAACCTTCACTTTACCTCGAATATCTCTTTCCAGAAAAATCTTGACTTTTAAAGCTTGCATGGTGGTTGAATCAAGAGTATCGTGGTTTGACTTTGGGGTAGTTTCGCTTTTCAGAGGCAGAGACGATAATAAATATTTTAGTTGTTCGAGAAACATATACTCTAAGAGGAATCATCTCATCATATTCAATTTTGAGCTCTCTTCTGACGGAGTCAATTATCCTCCAGCTGAGTTGAACCATAGCGATGTGCAGTTTGAGTTTTTTTGCCTTGACCATACGAAGGAAATAAGAGAGATAAAAGAATGCGGTGTACAACTCTTGGAGGTTTCTCCATCTCTGGGATGATAGTAGGAAAAGCTCTGAAACTAGGACGACGACAAATATGGAGAGAACGACGCGGAGGCAATGAGAAGCAGGAATCAAATGCGTGTAAGCATGAGCAACCGTTTATTACTTGAAAAAAACATTTGATCTCTTTTACTTCTTTATCAATGTCAACCTCATTCAAGCTAAGAATTGTTTTTGTTTCTTTCTTCAGATAGCTCGTTCGGTCTATAGGTGGAGCATCTAGCTACTTATGTTTCTTCTAGATGGCTGAGGTACCATGGCTATCTCTTAATGTTGCTCTTCCTCAACTAATTTTTTTTCTTCTTTTTTTCTTTGCAGGAGGCGTTTCTAGTTTGATCCAGCTGCAGAACAAAGAGATATAAAGAGTGAAAGAGGAAAAATAATTACAACGATGATGATGATGAGAGAAGAGATAGGAAATTAAAATGACGAAGCTGAATCTGGAGGAAAGTGTTGAATACTCTAAAGTGTGTGGAGGCTTGAGCTAAAGTGAATGATGGTTAAGATAAACAATTATGTTCTCTGCTATACAGAAGAACTCAATTCCAAAGTTAAATTACAGGAGAAGATTATGCTAATGCATGACACAGATCAAAGACTGTCATGGATCTATGTGCTGTTATTAAATATTTATTTCCTCTGCTTAGACAAGACATTAGAGGAAGATAGTGTTGCTAGGTTTGCTTTCATCCGATTTGGACTGAACTTTGTAAAGTTTTACTCTGTTTTTGTTTCTGTGGAACACAAACTACTTTTATTGCAAGAGTGAAAAACGATTACAGCTAATGCTTGTTGGTGGTACGCTCCGCTCCCCGGTTCGGACCGGTTAAAGACCGAGACCGGCCCAATTGATCCCGGTTTACGAAGGTCTTAGCCGAAGTGGGCATGGCCTCACGGCACGGCCCATGAGAAAGAAGCCCAGCGACGAGAGGCGGTGAGAACCGAACGGGAAGCCTTAAGACGTCTCCTCGTTCTTGTACTATAAATAGTAGAATTGTTACTGTAGAAGGGATCTTTTTCGGACCCGGAAAATAGAGACCTGAATATTGTATTGAGTTCGTCGAGAGACCTCCGAACTGAACGAATTGTAACTGAGAACTTAATAAAATCTAATCAACTTAATCTCTTTCGAACTCAAATTACCGGACCGACCTCGAATAGTTGAATACCATAATCAACAATTGGTGCCCACCGTGGGGCCGGTTCAGTAATCGGCCAGGACGACATGACAAGTGATGATAGACAACCGACCTCAGTCCAAGTCGGGAGTCAGATGACCTGTGCAGATGAGACCACCCAGGTCGGAGGACCTGCGGGCCAGGTCGGAGGGCCTGTGGAGGAACGCAAACGCAGCCCTGTACAACCCCAACCGGAAGCGCAACAAATCAAGGCAGAGCCGAGCTCAAGCGCCGGGGCTCACCAAACCTCACCAGCTGCCTTCGATCCAACCGCGCTTATGAACGCCTTCGCCGCGCAGATGCAAGAGTTGGTCTGAAGCAACGACGCGAAGTTCGCAACCCTCATCGCACAGATCTCCAACCTACAGCAAGAGAGTCCGATTAGAAGACGGAACCTCATTAGTGACTTCCAAGAAGAGCGAGATCTGCAGTACACAGTGGCGCGGTCAGTAGTTCAGCAGCACCAGCAGACGAATAGCCCATCTCGGCATGTGCGAGCTCAACCAACAGCGCGCGACCTGGAGATCGAGCGGATGCAGGCCCAACTGCGAGAGATCAGTTCAAGTTTCACCAAGCCACCAGCTCGGCACCCGAAATCAACCGCGTAATCCAGGAAGCACAGAAAACACCGTTCACTTCCCGGATCACCAACGTCCCCGTCCCAAACTTAGAAAAGTTTAAGCTACGATCGTACGAGGGAAACTCCGATCCGAGGTATTTCCTTACCTCATTCGGTATCGTAATTAACCGACTGAAGTTCACCTCGGCCGAACAGAAGGACGCGATTCAATGTCAGTTGTTCGTCGAACACCTCGAAGGCATAGCTCTAGATTGGTTTTCGAGATTGGAAGCCGACTCCATCGATAACTACAAGGAACTCTCGACTAAGTTCGCAAAGCATTTCTCGATGTTCATCGGGCAGAAAACTCGTAACTCCGAGCTGTGGGAGATATCACAGGGCGAGAATGAGTCGCTCCGAGACTTCATGGCACGTTTCAAACAGATCGTAGCACACTGTACGGTGGACGATGAAGCCGCTCTCGAAGCTCTGTATCAGAAAACATGGTACAAATCCCCCTTTCACAATGAGCTTCGCAGGAACAGACCGCTCACCCTCGAGGACGCGCTTCATAAGTCAAACATCTTCATCGCGGAAGAAGAAGAAGAAGCCGTCAAGGATCGGCAGTATTCAACGACAAAGCCAGGCCAAACGCCAACCCCCAAAGAGAGCTCGGAAACGAAGGTCCAGCCCGGGAAACCGCGCGGAGTAGTGAACCAGGCAGGACCGTCGAACCAAAGGACAGGACGACCTCCAAAATCTTGGAACACATGGCACAAGAACGATGATACGCCACTGAGAGAACTTTTTGCGAGTATCACGAGCGATATGGGCATAACACAGAGGAATACCGACATTTGAGGGATTTCTTACTTCAACAGTTCCGCAAGGGCGAGATCGACACCGCAGATTTGCCTAAACCGGGACCCCGGCGGCCGAACCCGCGACCAAACAAACCCGGCAATCAAGAAGCCGCTAAGGCAGCCGACTCCGATGAAGAGCAGGTTGCTCCCCCTAAACGAGATCGCGAAGCACCTAATAGAGAGGCGAACGTCCCCAAAACCAGGAAGAAGGTCAATATGATTATGGGAGCCCTCGAATCATGCAACTACTCCGTCCGAGCCCTCAAAGAATATAGCCGGCAGGCATCGAGTTCGCAGCCCCAAACGACGGTAACAACCGTGCCACTGTTGTTTACTGAAGCCGACCTGCGGGGAGTGCACATGCCTCACAACGATTGCCTCGTCGTCGAACTCCAGCTCGGAGATGTCGAAGTAAGCAGAATCTTAATCGACACAGGGAGCTCGGTAAATGTCATATTCAAAGAAACATTAAAGAATATGGATTTTCCGGACTCCGAGATCAAGCCTTACATGGAATCATTGACCGGGTTCACCGGAGAGAAAACAAGAACAGTAGGAACAGTGAAGATACCCATCTATGTCGGCGGGTCGGCTCGAATGATCAAGTTCTTGGTCCTCAACAAACCGGCGATATATAATGCAATTTTGGGAATGCCATGGCTATTCGACATGAAGGCCGTCGCTTCAACGTTCCATCAGTGCGTCAAGTTCTCGACCCCGTCAGGGATTTTCACCCTCAAAGGAAGCCAGACCGTGTCCCGATTATGCCATCTCACCGAATGCAAACTAAGTCTCGCACGGACGTGCGTTATAAGCCCATTTCAGGAAGGTCGTACAGCCGCAGAAAGCCAGTTCGGTCCACCCAAACAGAGCCAGGTCGACCAAGTCTGCATTGACCCAACAGATCCAGAGAAATGTGTCGGCATAGGGGCCGAGCTCGACAACAGTATCCGGGAAGCACTCATCAGTTTCCTCCAGAAGAACGTCTCCACATTCGCATGGAATATCAGCGACATGCCTGGAATCAATCCCGACATCACTTGCCACAAGCTAAACATCGATCCCACATACAAACCTATCAAACAGAAGAGACCGAGCTCGGACCCGAGAAAGCGCGAGCAGTAAACGATGAGGTCGAAAAGTTGCTCAAAGCCGGTTCGATCACGGAGGTTCCCACTGCCACACATTGATCGGTTGGTAGAGGCAACTGCTGGCAACGAACTGTTATCCTTCATGGATGCCTTCTCGGGGTATAACTAAATCCTAATGCATCCGGATGATCGGGAAAAGACTTCGTTTATTACAGATCGAGGAATCTACTGCTATAAGGTCATGTCGTTCGGCCTCAAAAATGCGGGAGCCACCTATCAAAGACTCGTGAACCGCATGTTCGCCAGTCAGCTCGGGAAAACGATGGAAGTATACATTGACGACATGCTGGTTAAATCCCCGTACGCTAAGGACCACATATCGCACTTGTCAACGTGTTTCGACGTTCTGAACGAGTACGGGATGAAACTCAATCCCGCCAAGTGCACCTTCGGCGTAACAGCAGGCGAGTTCTTTGGTTACATCGTCACTGAGCGCGGCATCGAAGCTAACCCTAAGCAAATATCTGCAGTTCTCGACCTACCTTCTCCGACTTCTAAACGGGATGTGCAAAAACTCACAGGCCGAATCGCCGCACTGAACAGGTTTATCTCCAGGTCGACGGATAAGTGCCTGCCCTTCTATCAGTTGTTACGAGGTAATAAGCATCATACTTGGAACGCCGAGTGCGAAGACGCCTTCAAGCAGCTGAAGACGTATCTCTCGACTCCCCCCATCCTAGCTAAACCCGAGAACGGCGAAATGCTATTCTTATACATCGCAATTTCCGCGTCGGCGGTCAGCAGTGTCCTAGTCTGCGAGGACAGAGGGGAACAACGTCCCATATTCTATGTCAGCATATCGCTAAGTGACGCCGAGGCCAGATACCCGACCTTAGAAAAACTGGCGCTTGCGGTGGTGACTTCTGCTCGGAAGCTTCGACAATATTTCCAGTCTCATTCGATCACAGTCTTGACCGACCAGCCGCTCCGAACCATTTTGCACAGCCCGAGCTAGTCGGGTCGCCTCGCAAAATGGGTCGTCGAACTAAGCGAGTACGATATAGAATACAAGAATCGAACCAGCGCGAAGTCCCAAGTACTAGCCGATTTTCTGATCAAACTCCCAAAAGAATTCGTCGTCGAACAGCCGCCCCGCGAGCTATGGATTCTGTATGTCGACGGGTCGTCATCACACCGGGAGTCGGAATCCGCCTGAATTCCCCAAACGGCGAGATCCTCGAACAGTCGTTCCGCCTCGAGTTCCCAGCATCCAACAATGAGGCCGAGTACGAAGCTTTACTTGCCGGACTACGATTGGCTACAGATCTTGGCGTGCGATATCTTCACGCTTACTACGATTCGCAGCTTGTCGCAAGTCAACTAAGTGGAGAATACACGACCAAAAACGAACGAATGGACGCGTACGTAACAACGACTAAGGCTCTTATCTCTAAGTTTGAGACATTCGAGCTCACAAAAATCCCTCGCGGCGAGAACTCTTCTGCTGACGCGTTAGCCGCCCTGGCCTCTAGTTCCGACCCGCATATGAAGAGAAAGATCCCGGTCGAAAGTATCTCAGAGCCAAGTATCAAAACCACGCTGGAATGCAATGTTGCTACTCGTCGACGGAACTACGACGAAAATCCAACCTTGGTCAATACCCGAAACAGGAACTCGACCCGGACGAACAAGAGTACCGAGCAGGAACTTAAGGAAAACTCCGAACAGGCTCCTGAAGACCTAACCGCCGATCACGACTTCGAGCACATAACCAAAGGAATCCACAGTCCATCAACTAGCGAAAACCAGGAAAACGAGTCATTCGAAGATTGGACAGAAGAACTGCAAGACTATCTCCTCCACGGCAAAGTCCCTGATGACAAATGGGCTGCTCGCCGTCTTAAAGTCCGGGCTGCCCACTATACAATGCACAAAGATAAACTAATCCGTTGGAGTGCATCCGGAGTACTCTTGGCCTGCGTATCCGGGAACGATACAGTCGAACTCATGCGCGAAGTCCACGAAGGGTCCGGTGGCAATCACTCCGAAGGTCGATCCCTAGCTCTGAAAATCAAGAAAGCCAACTATTTTTGGCCGACGATGAACGCGGACTGCGAAAAGTTTGTCATGAAGTGCGATAAGTGCCAACGCCATGGTCCAATGATTAACGTGCCGACCGAGCTGCTGCAGACCAGTACGGCCCCTTACCCCTTCATGCGGTGGGCTATGGATATCGTTGGCCCTTTATGCCGTTCAAAAAACCAAAAGCAGTATATCTTGATTATGACCGATTACTTCACAAAATGGATTGAGGCCGAAGCGTACTCGGAGATTACCGCACTGGACGTACAAAAATTCGTCTGGAAGTACATCATTTGCTGACACGGGGTCCCGCATGAGATCGTCACGGACAACGGACCACAATTTATTGCTGGGACGTTCAATGAGTGGTGCGCAAAGTTCAAAATCCGCCTTAGTTTCTCTACCCCGTGATATCCGCAAGGCAATGGCCAGGCCGAGGCAACCAACAAGAAAATCCTGGACGGCATAAAGAAACGCCTCGAGGCTAAGAAAGGTACTTGGGCAGACGAGCTCGACGGAGTCTTATGGTCGCACCGAACTACTCCCAGACGATCGACCGGACAGTCACTTTTTTCCTTAGCATACGGACTCGAAGCCCTCTGCCCGGCAGAAGTGAGTATTCCAACCTTAAGGTACTCAGTGCTCCCCGAAGATCCCGATCTCAACGACAAGATGATGCTCAACAATCTCGATAACTTGGAAGAGCAACGCTGTTTAGCTCTCCTCCGAATTCAGAACTATCAAAACCTCGCTGCTCGGTACTACAACAAGAAAGTGCGAGGTCGGCACTTCGATGAAGGCGACCTCGTCTTACGCAAAGTATTCCAGAACACTGAGGAGCTGAATGCAGGCAAACTAAGAACGAACTGGGAAGGTCCATATCAGATAATGAGAATCGTCAAGCCTGGGGTTTACGAACTCATGCAGCTCGACGGAACGCCGATCCCGCGATCTTGGAACTCAGCCAATCTCAAACGATATTATTACTAAGTCCCAGCCAACATGTGCGCGGACCCAAAAAAAAAAAAAAAAAAAAAAAAAAACCAGTCCGGCCCCGGCCGAACTCACCCCTGTAAACTGAACTACGAGTGGCTTGATCTCTTGCAAAAGGGTACGTAGGCAGCTCGATTTCGAGTCCAGCTACAAATCCAATAAAAACCATCTTTTCATATCTATAACTAACTCCACATAACGACTCCCCGGCCAGGAGATCGAACCAACTATTCCCCACGAATACAATCTCAAAAGCCAAGATCCGTCTCGCCCGCACCCCCATGGTGCCCACTATTCAAAGCCGGAGCCCAACCCGCACTCACTCTTTCGAACAACAATCCGCCAACTGCGATTCAAATTCGAAGAGTTTCCCGAGTTCGTCCGCATCGTCACAATAACATCACGAATTCCAAATTTAATCAAAACAAGCCAAACTCCCAACAGTCCGCAATGAAATGTCAAAAAAAAATTCTAAGTAAAAGTCAAGATAAAGGGAAACCATGTTCATTTCATTAAAATATCCGAATTTGCCGAACTAGACGGCAACAAATACAACGCCTAAAAACGGCGGTCAAAATAAAATACTAAGTAAAAACCCGAGCTACGCGGGCAAGACAGTCTTTACAACAACACCAAAATAAAACTAAGGAAAACTAGGAGAATCATTGGCGAGCGACAGACGCCAGACTCTTGAGACTCGCTGCCCGATCAGCCGAGATGGACTTGGAGTTTGAGTCGAATTGGTCCAAGCCCTCCGGAACCTGTGTCCCCGGCGGAAGCACAATCCGAGGAATGAGATCGTCGTCACTCGGGAGGAGGAAATCTTCGTTCTCGAACCGCGGAAGGGGGATGTCGTCGACCTCCTTTGTGCAGTTCTTGATCCTACGCCCGTACGTATCCACGATGTGAGACGGGACGATCATGTTGTGCTCCCTCCTTAGGAAGTCGCAGAAGCCGACCAGAGCAGTCGCCTGGTTAAGCTTGAGGAACGGCGCCTTTCTGAGCTCGGACTTGTCCATAAAGTCCTTCATCTTGGCAAGCTTCCCCTCGCACTTGCCCCTAAGCGCGGCCAGCATCTTCCGACCCTTGGACTCGGCGTCTCGGTACTTCCGCCTCTCTTGTTCGCTGGTCTTGAACGACTTGGACAGAGCATCCATGTCCCCCTCCAGTTCGGCGGTCCACTTCTCCAGAGCCCCGACTTGCTCCTTCAAGGCCGCGTTCTCCTTCTCCTTTTCGAAGAAGGCTAGCATAGCAGCCTCGTACCTCTCTTTTTCGTCCCGGTACGACACCTCCAAAGACGCCCTCTCGGCCGCGACATCAGCATTGATCTTCCTCAGCCTCTCGACCTCGGAGTCGTACTCGCGAACGAGCTCGTTGGTATCACAGACGAGCTGAAAATGGAATCCAAGTCAAAACATTTCAAAAACTAAAAAAGCTTAAGTATTCAAGACAGAGGGAAACTTTCAGCGGAGGCAGATTTCGCGACCCGAGCGTAAGACTTGGAGCAGAAGAGGTCTTTGGTCTCTGGCATTGGAGACGAGGCCGGCACGATTTGCCTGAAGAGCTCGGCACAGGCGGACGAGTCGTCGAAGAAGGACTGGTCCTTGTTGTACTTGAGCCGAACAGAGAAGGAGGACGAGTCAGAGGTCCGACGCCTCTTGGATGACCTCGGGTTCTCGGTCTTGGCAGCCGGATCCGCTGGAAGAACCTGAGAAGCGTTAGGCGATTCGTGAAGGACCAAAGTCCCCTCACTCGCAGCCGTCTCAGGCTCACCACCCTTCTTCCGAGACGATTTCTTCAAAGACTTGCCCTTCTTCCTACGGACGCGGTCGGCAATGGTGAGCTCGTCCTCATCCTGCTCACCAATTTCCCCCTCCTCCATTTGAGCCTGAGGAGTCGCCTCGGGAACACTAGTTCCCGCCACATCGCCCTCCGGCTCTGCAACCGGGATCAGAGGGTCAACCGGGCCGACCGGGACGTTATCGACCTCGTCCCCGATAGCATCTCCAACGCCGTCACCGGCCTCGTTCCCATCGAGACCGACAATGTCGATTGGGGCATTGTCATCTTCCTCATCAGCCCCAAATTCCATTATTGGGATATTCGACCTGTCGAACGCCATCCTCCGACTCCTCTTGTTGCTTTTCCTCGATTTCTTTTTCTTCGGCACCGGCCTCGACGAGCTGGGTTCAGCCTTTGATTTGGCTACAAAAAGACAAGTATGATTAGCACAACCCGTACAGATAAGAAATAACGACTTCAGAGTAAATCAAGGACTTATACCTCTGTCTTGAGCCCTCTTTATCCGGCGATCGATCTTCTCCCGATACGCTAGAGGCCAACGGCGCTAACCGGCGAGACTAAGCTGCTTCGCTAGGTCGGACGTAAGAGAGCGTTGGATAAACCCTGGAACGTGACGATCTGCACATAGGAAGAGAAATCAATTAGAATCAGTCAGGAAATAAAGAGATGAACCGTGAGATATGTACCAAAGTCAACACTCCAGCCAGTCCGGAACGTGCTCTCCGGATTCTCAGCAGAAATTGAGTCAACGCGAAGAAAAAAGTAGTTCTTGTCCCAGTCCGTAAACTTGCTGGCCTTGTTCCCGGTGACCAAATCGAATTTTGGATTGCAGTTCACCGACATGAACCAGCTTTTGGCCGACAAGACTTTCATGATAAAGAGCTCCTCGAACTGTGCCACATTGATTCGAGTGCGGATATCGCGCCCGAGTTGAAGAATCCCAACGAAGTTTACAATCGACGCCGGCTGGAGTTGGGCTATCGCGCAGCCACACCGGTTGCGGTACGCGAACAGAAGGCGAGGCAAGGGGAAAGTTAACCCGGCCTCGCGGAAATAAGCTTCGTAGACGCAAATAAAGTCTTCAGGAGCGTCCCAGGGACGCTCCTCCGGTTCGGGGACCTGAATTATGACTCCAGGAGGGGCTCCACCAACCAGCATAGCAGCCCGGACTGTTTCGGGGGTTGATAGAGTAGACTTCACCGGAGCACAGATACAGGGACGATCCACGATCGGCATCATATCGTCATCGTTCGGGTCCTGCGCTCTTTGGTCCCCACCCTCGAGAAGGAGAGCGTCCTCATCCGTCTTCACATCTGGCTCCTGATCCACGACCAAATCAACGGGAACTTGACCCTCGGGCTCACGGAGAGCCCGATCCATCCGTTCCAGAGCCCTGATCGGGATGCGGCTGCTCGTGCCGACCTTGACGACCCGGGAATTCTTCCGAACCAAAGAAGCATTCGAAGAATGTTCGGTAGACCCCGAGCTCGATATGTCAGTCGAAGATTCATCTCTGCGGTGCTCGGGAAGAATGGCGGCCTCGGAATTGGAGGATGAACCGGAAGACATCGTCGGGACAGATCGAAGAAATGAGCGTCGACGGGAGAGCACGGCGGAGTATGACCGGAAACCCTAGAGAGAGAAAGCAGAAAACTTAGAGAGAAGGGAGAGCAAAATACCTTGGCAGAAGAAGCGAAAATGAGAAATGGGGAGAGCTGGGCTCTATTTATATGGAAAAAGCGAATCATTGCGATTTCTCGAGTTCCGCGCTTTGTAACGTCTCCATTTCCCGCCTGAACCAACGCGTCTTTTCAGTTCCCCGCAAGCAAAAATACTAAAATACCCTCGCGAAGATATCAAAGGAATAAAGAAAGGTGTAAGTCAGGAAACCAACATCGCCAACCTCGATCATTAACCGATCTAGCTCTAATTCGGCAAAAGTCAGTCAGGTCCGTTTATCGAACTGGGGGGGGACATACTGTTGGTGGTACGCTCCGCTCCCCGGTTCGGACCGGTTAAAGACCGAGACCGGCCCAATTGATCCCGGTTTACGAAGGTCTTAGCCGAAGTGGGCCTGGCCTGACGGCACGGCCCATGAGAAAGAAGCCCAGCGACGAGAGGCGGTGAGAGCCGAACGGGAAGCCCTAAGACGTCTCCTCGTTCTTGTAGAATTGTTACTGTAGAAGGGATCTTTTTCGGACCCGGAAAATAGAGACCTGAATATTGTATTGAGTTCGTCGAGAGACCTCCGAACTGAACGAACTGTAATTGAGAACTTAATAAAATTTAATCAACTTAATCTCTTTCGAACTCAAATTACTGGACCGACCTCGAATAGTTGAATACCATAATCAACAATGCTTAATCGAATATAATATCTGAAACTTTTTCTCTTTCCCTTTATTTTTTGTTGCTCTTTAGATCCGTTTGTAAGGGTTAAAAAAAAAAAAAAAAAAAAAGATAAGATAAGAGGTTTTCAGAAGAGAAACAAAGTACAACTTGAAAGAGAAAAGTTTCAGATTTGCACCTTCCATTGGATTTAGAGAAACTCTCTTCTCGTTTCCTTTTTCTAATCTTCAGGATTGCAGATTCAACATTTCTTCTATACCGACTTCTCTTAAAAGCGGCAATGTTTCCAGACCTGTAGAATAACCACGTGGATCCATTGATGAAGCAAGTAGCTTCTTTATGCATGTGAAAAAATGTATTTCAAACCTTCAGATGCAAACATATAAGTTGAGAATTTTCAGTCCTTGAGATAAAGGCACATAGATGCGAAAACAGTTTCTCAGATGAGTTTTTGTTACAGAAAGACAAAAATATATCTGATATCCACAGAATGTTAGTTTCTGTATGTCTAAATGCATCTGTAAGATAAAGAGTACAGTACCTGGCGTTGATCTCTGCTCTTGTTTTTAACAATACCCAAAGATTTTGCTAAAAAAAACTTCTGGAGACCATAGCAGAACAGAGAGGTACAGAAAGAGTAAAGAGCAAATGGGTATGATGATGATCGTTCATAGAAGAGGTAAAGGATGATTGAAAAATCAGTTATGTAACATAACTTATGTTTTCTACTTAAGATAACTCATGATGAATATCAAAGTGGAATCACAGGAGGAGATTACGCTAATGCAAACTCAAAACAGAGTAGAAAGAAATAGTTGCTGTTACTCAAATGTTTTCTCTGAGCTTAGACAAGACATTAAAGGAAGATAGTATTGCTGCTTTTGCTTTGGTTTGAAGGTCACCTTATTAAATGATTTGACTTAGGGGATTTACTATAATAGCATTTCGCGCAGAAAAACAGGTTCTTTTTTTCTTTTTAATCGTTTGGATTGATTTCAACTAAAAAGGGGAAAGAGTACTCAAAGGTCACAAAAACAGAGCATAGAGCTCTTAAAAAACAGAGCATAAGCAAAATGAAACAAAGGCACAAGCGGAATTCACACGCCAAAACGAGCCTCTGAACGGATCCGATAATGAATAACCAGGTTGGACAACTATTACTAGACAAGACTGAAACCGACCATCAAAAGTAACACACTTCACAATGTCTTGAGCAATGGAGTTGTCGAGACACCAAGAGGAAGCTAGAAAGCTGTGAGTTGGTGAAGTGTGGAACGGACTTGTTATATGCTCCGGATGAGAATTATTACAGACTCCAGGAAACAATTATTAATAACCGGGATTAAGTGATATCCACAAACGAAGCAGATCGACATGAAAATGCCTCGGGTGAAGCTGTTTTGCTCGAAAGAGGTCGTCATTGCTTGCAAGATGATGAAGAGATAGAGAATGGGAAAACAGTGAAGGAAGAAATCGTCTTGTAATCATGAGTGTTTATTTCCTTAGCTAAAAGCATATGGTTTCCTACCAAGGCTGGATTCAGACAAAGGTCAAATCATGTATCTTGATGAAATATAACTCCATCGAAAGAGCCTTGTATCTTGGACTTTCAAAAAGTCTAGCACCCGACTCTGTTTTAATTAGAGTCATGAGAAAACAGAAACTGTTGTACAATGACATACATCAACTATCAACTTGTTGTAGTTGCACCACAGTTTGCAATCATAATTTAAGAAGTCTTCTGATTCTTCTCAAAAGATCCAACCATCTATTTTCACCTTGTTCCACGTCCTCTGTCCTTGAGCTTGCCTCCCAAGAACCAGATTCATAAACTAAACTGAAACCGCACTTCTGTACCTCACAACTCGTAACCTTGCCACTACCATCTGTCACTTCAAATTCAATGGAAGCCTTGGTAGGAACACATCCCTTCTCACCATCCTCTTCTTGATATCTATTGATATTCAACCATTTGGTGTACCCCATGAACACATGAGTCGACTTAATTGTGCGTTGCTCATCGCCTGTCTCGGATAAACCTCCAATAAGGCAATTAAAATTTGCTAGAGGATGTCTTAGCATTGTTGAACTCACATCTGCATTTCACCTGGAGGTTGTTATTTTGAATTTTGTGGTCCTGAAACGAGACAACAGCAGACAGAGCTATTCCAACAAATCCACTTTCACTCCAATGTCGTGGCAGCTCCGGGTCTAACACTGCTCCAGAAGCTTTGTGGCTAAACCAAGCAGGAACTTCACATCCAGGAAAACAAGTGGTAACCAAAGCTTCAAAATCAAGACCCTGTAAAGTAAAAGCGAAGATGAATGATTAATATAACTTTTAAACCGTTGATATAGAGAGGAAAGTGAGAGAGAGAGAGAGAGACCTTATTGTGGCGATTCAATGCATCTGCAATCATCCGTCTCTTATTGTGAGCATAGCATATGATGTCATTCTTTGCGTCGTGCTCTAGTTTTTCACAGTTAGTGAAAATGAATGAGGAGGGGACCTGCTGCGTTGGCATTAGAAGAGCCAGCGGACTCGCTACTGTTTTCAGTGAGCTGCAAGCATGTGCATCTAAGCACGGTGCTTGGTCTTTGAAGTTCCCACTGTGTAATAATATCTTCGGCAACTCTTTTACTGAGGTCCCATCAAGTAGCAAAATCTCCAGATTTTCCATGTTCTCCTTAATATCAGGAAAACTGCTAAGCTTCTCACAGCCAGAGAGTATTAGTTCTTTAAGAGCCTTCAGCTTGTCTAGACAGTCAGGTAGGAAATCCAACATTTTGCAGTCTTTCAGATTTAATAACACAAGTTTCTGGAAGTTTTGGATGGTCCGAGGAAGACTCTCGATTGCACTGCCATCTAAATGTAGAAATTCAAGATTTTCATAAACCAGCTTAAAGTTGATAAAGTTTGAGCAGCCACTGAGAATGAGAGTCTTCAGGGAGATTAAATCCAGCCGAACGTTGATATTTTATGTCATAGTTTCGAATTTCATAGGGAAACTACTGACACTAGCACCAATAGTTCATTCAAATTCAAAATGTCACAAGTCTATTAAACAACTAAACAATACAGAAACCACACACACAAAAAAACTCTTAACCCGGTTAGGATTGTTCTGTAAGAAAGATCCCAGTTCGCTAAACTCTGAATGTCCCCGAGACTCAACTCCCCGGTCCAATTTACCAATCCATTGCCACAAAAATAATATTATGAACTCTTCTTCTGGCCAAAGTTATGTCCTAAGATTCCCTCTTTCCTTCTTATTTCTACCCACAAAAAAAAGATCAAAACTTCTGTGCACTAACACAGCGCTGCACAAGTTTCAGTTGTCATTTTCAACTCTTTTATCCATTGGAGTCAAAAATCTAAGAATACAGCATGCTTGAAGCTATCCGATCTTGTTCAAAACGTTTATAGGCTCGTCTAGTTCTCATAAACAAGAAAACACTTGAACCTAGTCCAATCACTGACAAGCATCCCCACCACAGAAACGTTAGGAGATAACAGTCTCGTCCCATACATATAACCGACTCCGTCTTTGACCCGGCTATGCTATGGGATTCATAGACCAATGCAGCTAAGAAACCGTACACCAACGATCCTATCGGTATGTTTGTGATGAGGATGTTGTGGTTAACCCCGACACTGTTGGGTCCAAATAGCTCAGATGTTATGGAAACCGCTGCTGCAAATATGAAACCCGAGCTTAGACCGATTAGAGCTGTTCCGGCTTGTAACGCTGACAAACTTCCTGATGATGCTAGCAAGAAGAGAGCAACTGTGGTTGGTAAAAGAGCAACGGTAAGCCACCCGGTTCTAGCAAAATAAAACTTCCTGCAAATTTCATATTGCAATAACATCATAAATCTTCTCATGATGTTAGAACCAGAGGAATGTAAAAGCTTGTGTAAGGGACTTACGCTCTGATGTAGTCTGGTGTTGCTGAAAGTAATCGACCGAAGAATGAGAAAGACGAATAAAGTGTGACAAGAGTTGTTGTCTCGGAGCTGTGTCCTAAAGATTGTGCAATCTGTCCAAGGTTATTGCTATAGACAAGTCCAATCGTGCCACCGCAAAAATAAGCTATATAGTAAAGCCAGAAATCTGATCTGCACAAGAGCAAAGACAGAGGATGTTCTTCTCCAAGCATTCCAAGCTGGTTTCTTGTAATGAGCTTATTGCAACAAGATACGTTGTCATCTTCGATGAAACTCTTTTGATCAGGAGTTATGGCTGTTCGCACTACATCATCGTTTAGCAACTGATAGCCTTCGAGGCTGGCTTCACGTGTGGCCAATCCTTTATGCATCTCAAGGTCATCAACATCAACAAGAATGAAACCGGAGCCTTCTAAACGGAAACTGGAGTGGACATTGTGCAGATACCAATTACGAGCGTAGACTAAACCAGGAAGGCATAAAGGGAGAATCAAGAGAAGTATTGATCCACCAAAGAGAAGACGAGCTGAGGTTACATCAGAAGTCTTTGAACCAAAGAGTAGCAGATAAACACCGTTCAACACCGCTAATATGTTAAGCAGGAGAAACATGAGAGAGTCTCTACGAACTCCATCTGGTGGAAGAGGTTCAAGAGGAGGTTGGCGAAGAATAGGGATGAGAGCAGCGAAGGAGATAATAAGAGGTATAAGGGCGTTTAAGAGAAGGTATAGCTGTGTGGAAACAGGATTGATTGCGTTGTAAGCAAGAGTGTATAACGCAGCACTTACGCCATTGAAGCTCACTGTGAGTGATAGTGCAAGTGACCTGTTTGCAGGGAAGTTTCTGATGCAGAGCACAAAGCAGACTGTGTTAAACCAACAGATACTTAGCCCAGCTAGCAAACAACACAGAAACACCTGCCACAACATCACAGAAACAATACTTAGTCATAAGAAAGTTAATCATTCCCACTGAAAAAAAATATATATTTTTTTAAACTGACTAGGCTCAGCGTGAGATAATTCCAAAAAAAAAAATCATACAGCCATTTACACTTTCATCGCAAAACTCAAAATTATATGATCTCACATGACAAAGAAAAAGAAAAAAAAAACATTGCTGCAAGAGAAACACTTTTAAAAAATTCGGTGACAAAGAATAATAATATTTATATATACACAAAATGAAGATCCAATCACAAGAACCAACAAAGATTCTAGATTTATAAAACCCCAGACAAAGCCGAAACAGGCCAAAGAAAACCACGTGCGACCAAACAGTCATATGAAAATTCACTTCTGAACTACCAGTCAACTCTTCTTCCAAACTTCCAAATCTTAATTTCGTCTCATTTGCACCAAAATATTTTATAAAAGAAAAATATGAATACTAACAACATGTAGTTAAGATGAAGCACATTACTATAAACACATCTCTTATATAAACATTAAGTCACAAACAACATTGATATAAAATTGGAAGACAAATAGATATTGATGTTCTTAGTCTTTAGAGCGATAGAGTAATGAAACTACATTGGTTAATTTATCTAAAAAGCTGAAGAATTGAATATGTGAGTTAACTATGTAAAGCTAAACGAGTGATTTAATTGATAAAGCCATAGAGTACTGAAACTACATTACTTGATTATCTGTAAAGCTGAAGAAATTGATAAAGATCAACTATACTTGCCCATCATAAAACCAAATTCGAATTCTCTAATGTGGTTTTTATAACTTCCGTCATGAACTTTGTGGAATCATCAAAATGTCAAATTGATTCACGATTAAAAGAAGAAAAAAAGAGAATCTGATCAGCAAATTGAAATGCCGAGGAAATATTTTGTTACCAGAATGTACGGCAAAGAGATAATGTTAGTGATGACGAGCCACTGAACACCATAGCCAACGAAACCCATTATCGCCGCCGCGAAGAGAACCGTCCAGAGAGGGAAATACAAGAGTGCTAGTCCCGATGACCAACCAAACACTTTCCCGAGATCCGAAGCGACGGCGAGATAGTTCAACTGTACCTGAGAGATCCCTAGAACCGATTTCAAATCCGACGAGTACGTCGAGAAATCGAAATTTGTACCAGTGAAAGCTTGAATCCAGATCGTCGCCACCAGAATCATCCATTTTCGCGATTGTCCCGCCATCTCTTCTTCCACCGTCTTTTACAATCGCCGACGTCGATTCCTAAATCTCCGGAGAGATTTGTTTGTTTGGTTTGTTTTTTCTCTCTGGATTCGATGAGTTTGTTAGTGACTGACTTGTGTAGCTTCGCTGGTTTTAGAATCTGAGAAAGAGGCCCAAAACGAAAAACGAATCATATGGTTCACGTGGCGGCATCTTCATCTTGGTGTAAACCGAGTTGAAAGATCGATTTTATGCGGTTAACTTTCCTTGTTTGTTTGTTGGTTTAAATTTAAAACCATGCAACAAATCAAAATACAATCTGTAAAATATTATTACATTAATTAATAATTAATTATATGGTCCTTATTATATGTATTGAGAAAACTTCATTAAAAGTTCTCCAATTTTTAACAATTTTTATTAAAACATATAAATTTTCCTTGTTTTAAAGTTAAATGTGTGTATATATATATGGAAGCTCTTTAGTCTAGTGGTTGACTAAATAATGGAAACAAGCTTATAAAGAAATTTTCGGTACAATACAAATGGAGCCGTTTATCATGATCATATGATCTTTGTGGAGTGAATAGTATTGACCGTTATAGAATTATGTTTGTAATAGTTTTTATAATTAATTTGTTCACTGTAAAAAAAGAAAAAAATTTAAATATACAAACTACTAAAATGATCAAAAAATAGTAATGATTGTCTTGGTCAGATAATCAAATGCTATTTTCCATATTAAACCAACAAATTGCTGGATTATTGATTACACATATTACAAATCGATGTGGATGGCAGTATTTTAGAAGGAAATTTGTAAATTATTAGTTTATGTAAAAAAAATTATGTGCCAAATTTCGAATGGTAACTCTTTGGCTCTGTTGTGTTTAGAAGAGCAAGCAACCCTAATCACATATAGATACCTTCACCAACACTTCATTATAAAACAACGCAAAGAATAGACACATGTGTAAGACACGCCTAGCCAAAAGTGGAACAAGTTTACCAAAACAAACAAAGATGGTGATGAATCGATTCCTTTGCTCGATTTAAAAAAGCAAAATGGTTCCCTATGAAGATATATTCAAAGAGACCAACTTGCCATAAGCGAGAGAGAGAGCCTAAGACCTATCACAAGCTAATAATACATACATAATTAGTTCCTACAAGCTTTAACACGTATTGAGAATCTGACATTATAACCTACTGTTAGTAATGGGCCTAACTCACACCCAAAAGCTACTTTTGCCTGATAGCCTGATACCATTGGCTGATGGGTTGACAAAGGGTTTAGTCTCACTTTTAGGAAACAGAAGATCCACACCTGAACGTGTAGCAGCATCCTGAAAGGTCGTATCTTTCGATGAGGAGGTGCTAGTTTCTTGCGGTGCTTCAACAGGGCAATGAAGCACAGGTGGTGTTGAGTTTTGTCTCTGAAACATAAGCTTGGCAATAAGATCTCCTGGAAGATCAATGTCAAGCTTATAATCTGACACAAGTTCAACTATGGGTTTCAATCTTCCAACATCTCTGTTTTCAGCCTGTATATTGAATCCCAAAACATAGATTAGTGATCTCTAATATCAGCACCAATGAAACAATATTAAACACATGGGAAGATGTAGAACCAGTTCTTACTTTTTCCAGGGCAGAGCGTCTTAAATCGGTGATCTCTTTCATTAAAAGAGTAGTCGCTGAAAAGTCTCTAAGCTTGAACAAACATATCATTCGGACTGCAGGAATGTATTGATGAACCTCTATGAGATCTCTAACAAATTCTGCAAAAGAAAAAAAAAAAGAGTAATAAGACCTTACTTCGTGATTCTTCTTTTATTATGTATCAGAGACGTTTTAGAATTTAACCTGGGATCTTGAGTTTGAGACCAAGCAAGTGAAAGAGTTCTGGACCTTGTTTGTAATGAAAAACAGATGTGGCAAGTAGCACGGTCTCTTCTTCATTGATCAAACTCTTTAAATCATACGCCAAGATGAATAGCAAAAAGGCCAAAGCCTCGAGAGATGATCTTGGCGCTTCGATTATTATCTTCCCTTTCCAGAGATTTGCCACTTGCGTAGCCTTCTTCCGCGTTTGAGCCTTGTTCGATCCTCCGATTTCTGCGAGCTCTTCAAAACACAGAACTAAGGTCTCCAAGACTGAATCTTGTAAACCAAGTTCTTGGCCTCGATGAGCCTCCCTGATTTGTCCCTCTACTAGGTCCAAAACAAATTTTGCTGGATTAGATTTAGCTCTAAGATAACTGGATACTTCATGAAGACCAGGAGAAGCTGAGGAGAATTCACGAAGCAAGAGAGCCTCCACATTAGACAGCTCAGTCTCTGCTGCAACATGCTGCTGCTCGTGCTTAACAAGCTCACTGCTCTTCAGTCTCAACTCTGTCTTCTTCAACTCAAGTTCGTTTTGAGTGTTCTTCAGTGATGTCCTAAGCTCAATGAGTGTCTTCTCTTCTGACTTGATATGGTTCCTTAGCAAATCAAGTTCCTTTTCTTTGTCACTAGCTTCGATCTCTGTTGCTTCAATCTTCTTTTGGTTTCCCTAACTTCAAGCTCAGAATTTGAAGCTCTTCTTTCATTAGCTCTACTTCCTTAGACCTCTTCTCACCAACCATGTCACAATAGTCATGTAAAGTCTTCAATATCTGAGACGATTCAGCTTTTAATTTCTCCAACGAATGGCAGAGTTTCTGTCTCTTGGAAACAGTAAGTGTAAAATCGTCTTCGAACCAATTGTTCTCCATAGCAAGTGACCAAATGGATTCAACAGCTATGTACAGGAGAGCAAATAGAAACCTGCAAAACCCAAGTTCAAGAGAAAAGAAAAAATTGATCAAAGTTGGAAACAACTGTTCTTCAAAATCAAAATCAAAACCAAAATCGACGGAAAAAATGCTAGAAATTAAATTATTATATCAAAGGTTTCCAGAAGCTAAACACATTATACCAAAATCAACCACACAGGTCAAAGAAGAAAGTGTTCTTCAAGTTTAAAGAGCAAGAACAGAGAAAGAAACTAGAGAAATGTTAGTGAATAAACCATAGGCACAGAAATAACAGCAAAATCGAACATATACAGAATTACAGAAGCCAAAACTTCAAGAAGAACTCAAACAAGTCACAGAGGAGAATATACCCACAAGTGAAATTAAACCCTGGACGGAAAATTAACAAAAAAAATCGAAACATATCCAGAAGCTTAATGTTCAAAAAGAACTTAAACCAGGTCTCACTGATATATACATTCAGAAGCAAATAAAATAAAATAAAAATCCCCTAGATTGGATGAAAGTAAGGCAAAAAAAGAAAAAGAATAGAAATGCAACAAGTAACTAAAAAGATAGAGAAGAAATGAGACGTACAACAGAGAAAGTGGGAGTATCTGTATGTAGTACTAGTGACATCTGTGATTCTGCAGGAGGAAGAAGACCAAAAGAAGAGTGGAGAAAAGGACGATATTGACCATGAACGGAGCGAAGAGATTTTTCTTTAGTTCAAATTGTTACGGATGGAGGAAAAAAGGCCCATTGGACTCTCATCCATTTTAATTGTTAAAAGTCCAATGACATAATTAGCTTTTTGTTTTTTTTTTTAATCATCTGTTGAATTTAAAATTATTAGCTAAGGGAGTTTTTTCCATCCTCTCTCTTCTCTCATCTCTATCGTTGAGAGAGAGGAAGCACTTTTTCTCCCTTTTGTTCATATTCTGATTAATATCGGATAATAATCTCCGGTTTCAACCGGTAATAAGTTTCCGATTTATTTGGATTTTGGTTTTCCGGTTTTCGGATTTCTTTTGCTGATCTTATTTGTTTGTTGATTTGTTCTATTGGAGCTTGTAAAACCATCACTAGTCCTTAATGAAGTGAAGGATTAACTCTTGCTAGAAAAATCATGGATTCTATGGTAAAGCAAAGGTTTCCGGATATGTTCTGATGTCTTCTCGCCCATTTCTCCTCTGCACTTTGGTCCTCTTATAGTGAGGCGGTGGTTATCGGATCTGGTAGTTTGTGTTGAGATTTTTCTTCGACTTTGGGCATCGTCATCTCTTAACTGAGAGATTAAGATCTCTCTAAATCCCTTTAAAAGCCTTGATGACGTTGGGTTATTAGTCTTGAGTCAAAGATGATCGGCATGATTAATCGAAGATATCAAATCTTGGCCAATTTCTCATACAGATTCTAATTGGAGGAGTCATTAAAAAAGAAGGAAGAAGCAGAAGTGTTTCTTATGAAGTCTTTGTGGCGCCAGATGATGATTTGGCGGTGAGAAGACCGTCGGCAAGAAGACCACAGTTGGCAGAGATTTCGACAGTGAAGCAACATTTTTTCTCTTCAGATGCCATGTGCCTTTGTTTTCTTTTTTTGATCAACACGTGTTTCGACGTGTTTTATCTTTTTTTTGTGTTGATCTCAAATTGTATTGGTCCTATTGTGGGTTTTAGAACACTCTGTAATTACTTTTTTTGGGCTTTCTAGTAATGGACTTGTTGACCAAAAAAAAAAACTAAATAACATCTGAATTCCATTGTTCAAACTTTTCATCTCATATTTGATTAAGTTTATTTTAGAACCGAATTATTCATATTTTTATCCGCTATTCTATGTTTTTGATATTCAAAAATAGACATCATTAATTCACAACTCTTACATATATAGATGATGAAAAAAAAAGATGAAAACAAAGATTATTAATCAAAATCCCATCAAATAGATATATAAACTTGACAATACAATAAATATTAGAAATAGCACTTCTATTTCTATTTTATTCAGGAGAAAACAAGAAATAGTTCTAAGACTTATCATAGCTTAACATAAAATTGAATCATGAAAAAAAAACAACATATATAGATCATCCGATAATGTGACGGTTAGTGACCGGACCGTTGGGGCAATTGTAGCCTGGAACATTTATTTTTTTACTTGTTTTGTCTCCAAAAAAAATTAAATCCCACATATATACTAATCTCTATTTGTGTCAACAAATGAATCGTTTATAAAATTAAAGTTAATTCATCATTAAAAAGGTAAATTGTCTTTATAGATTTGGCCATTACTTTTTTGTCATCTCTTAATTCCTTTTGACAAGAATAGAAAAATATTTTCTATTTTATAATGTAAGCCTAATGATATCCTCAAATTTTAAAAATATCACAAATTTTATGTTAAAAAGACTTCCTAAAATATTTAAAATTTTAATGCATTACATGAAATATTAGAGATATTTGCATTATTCAGGAGAAAACAAGAAATAGTTATAACTGAGTCATGAAAAAGAAACAACAACATATAGTAGCTAGATCATCCGACAATGGGACGAGTAATGACTGGACCGTTGGGGCAATTGTCATTTGGAACATAGAGAAGGACACGATTACAACAACTGATGGCTCGTACATAAATAACATCTTGAGGATATATAAAAGCAGTCACATATGGATTGTCACTTTCAATTTTTTTCTTTGCTTCGATTCCACTCACACCTATTAGCTCTGGCCATTCCACCTTCAATCCTACACACACCATGCTACAAGTGGTTAATCTTTGGTATTAATGTATATGGTAGTACTGCTTGTAGAAACATATTTGGTCAATTAGAGATTTTGCACTAGGTTTTCAGATTCAATTCTCCTAAAATATAATATGGTAGTTTGGATCAAACCAACTTGTTTTTGTGAGTTTTCAAAATTTGGAAACAAAAACTTTATATTTCAAACTTCTTTATCATTTTGTAAATCGCCATGGGAGATAAACATAATAGAAATGATCAAGGGTGCTCACTCTAGATAAATGGAGTCGATCTAATCAAAAACCAACCTAAAATTTATCCTATTAAGTTAAAAATAATTTTACTTAAAATGAATCTGAATACCAGCACAAAGGAGAATATCAAATGTAATTAATTTCAATATAGAAAACAAATGATGCAATATTGATCAAACCTGAATCTAAACAAAACCAAAATTGAAACATCATCAAAACTGATTTATACTAGTTTGGTTTCACAGATCACGAGTTACCGATCACGGTAAAAGTAATAACTACCATTTTACCTCTTGCATAGGACCATGGTTACTACTTGACATACGATCTTAGTATGTATACCAAATAAAAAAGTTATTAGTATGTATACCAAATAAAAAAGTTATTAATATGTAAACCAATTGAAAAAACTAACTAGATCTAGAACACGACTAGCAAATCAATCAACATTATGATTTTTTACAGTAATTGATGGATTTTTGAGCTAATATCGTTTGTAGAAAAAAGTATAGATGTACATTACCTGGAAATCGAGATTGGCATGCCTTCCCTGAGCATGCACAGAATTCACATTTGGGACCAACAGTTGGACACTTGTTTTGCATTTTGTGTCTTTTCTTGATTCGTCAGATTTTACGATAATTGATAATCTTTCAAATGATAATATTTTAGTTCAACTTATTGATCAACATATATATCAAACATATATGTTGCCTTTTACTAAGGAAACTAACAACTACAAGACTATCTGTTGTCATTAAAAATGAGTTAATAGTAACATATCTCAATTAAATGACACTGATTGTTTTCCCACTATTTTATGACACCTTAAAAAAAAGATATTTTAATTGATGCACATTTAAAAATAGAATCGAAGCATAGTTATTTTAGTTTATGACATATTAAATTTGATACTGCCTGATGACATGACATGACGTAAAACATTATATATTCTTTTGTTTTGTCTCCAAAAAATTATAAATCTCATTTATAGACTAATTACTTTTTGTGTCAACAAATGAATCTTTTATAAAGTTAAAGGTAATTCGTCATTAAAAAGGTAAAATGTCTTTATATTTTTGGCCATTATTTTTTTTGTTATATCTTAATTCCTTTTAACATGAATAGAAACATATTTTCTGTTTTATTTTGTAAACCTAGTGATACCCTCAAACTTTAAACATATCACAAAATTTATGTAGGTGAATAAACCATAGGCACAAAAATAACTGAAAAATCGAACATACAGAATTACAGAAGGCAAAACTTCAAGAAAAACTCAAACAAGGTCACAGAGGAGAATATACCCAGAAGTGAAACTAAACCCTAGATGGAAAATTAACAAAAAAAAAAATCAAACATACCCATAAGCTTAATGTTCAAGAAAAACTCGAGCTAGGTCTCACTGATGAATACATCACAAGGATACACCCAAAAAAAAAATCCCTAATTGGATGAAAGTAAGGCATAGAAGAAAAAGAACAGAAATGAAACAAGTAACTAAAATGATAGAGAACAAATGTGACGTACAAGAGAGAAAGTGGGAGTATCATTGTGTAGTGACAGTCTGTGATTCTGCAAGAGGAAGAAGACCAAAAGAAGAATGAAGAAAAGGACGATATTGACTATGAACGGGCGAAGAAGAGATTTTTCTTTAGTTAAAATTGTGACGGTTGATGGAGAATAAGACCCATTAAGCTCTCATCCATTTTAATGTAGGTTCATTGGACTCTCATCCATTTAAATTGTTAAAAGTCCAGTGATATAATTAGCTTTAAGAATAACACCCCAATTCCATTGTCCAAAATTCTCAACCAAATTATTCATATTTTACCCACTAATATTGGTTTCTGATATTCGATACATCACGAATTCATGACTCTATATATGATTAAAAAGAAAATCTATTATAGTTACTAATCGAAATCCCATATAACAGATATATAAACTTAACGATACAATATAGCTTAGAAATAGCTTTTCTATTTCCATTTTATTCATGAGAAACACACGAAATAGTTATAAGACTTAATAAAGCTTAACATGAAACTGAGTCATGAAAAAGAAACAACAACATATAGTAGATCATCCGACGATGGGACGGTTAGTGACTAGACCGTTGGGGCAATTGTCGTTTGGAACATAGAGAAGGACACGGTTACAACAACAGATGGCTGGTAGTAAAAAAAGATCTTGAGGATATATAAAAGCAGTCACATATGGATTATCACTTTCAATTTTCTTCTTTGCTTCGATTCCACTCACACCTATTAGCTCTGGCCATTCCACCTTCAATCCTGCACACACCATGCTACAAGTTTTTAATTTTTGGTATTAATGTATATGGTGTTACTGCTTGTAGAAACATATTTGGTCAATTAGGGTTTTTGCACTATAGTTTAGTTTGGATTAAACCGTCGTATTTTTTTATGGATTTTCAAAATTTAGAAAAAAAACTTTTGAAACGAACTTAGTATGTATACCAAATGAAAAAGTTATTAGTATGTAAACTAATAGAAAAAGCTAACTCGATTTGGAACACGACTAATAACTCAATCAACGTTATGATTTTTTACAGTAGTTAATAGATTTTTTGGTTATATCTTCTGTAGAAAAAAAGGTATAGATGTACATTACCTGGATATTGGCATCCCCTCCCTGTGCATGAACAGAAGTCACATATAGGATCAGCGATTGGACATTTCTTTTGCATTTTGTGTTTTCTCTTTTGTCAGATTTTACTTAGCAAGATAAATTATAATCTTTCAACTTATTGATCAACATATATATAGCAAACAATGACAAGACTATATGTGGTAATAAGTAACGAATTAATGATAACATAGATCTGATCAATTTAAAGACACTGTCTTTTGTTCCACTATTTTTTAGGCACAAATCAAAACATAGATATTTTAGTTTATGAAATATTAAAAAAAAGAAAAGAAACCAAAAATAGATGTATTTTAATTTTATGACATATTTAAAATAAAATCAAAACATAGTTATTTTTAATTTATGACACATTGAATTTGTTACTGCTTTATGACATGACATGACGAGAAATATTAAATATTTTTTGTTGTCTCCAAAATTTTAAATCTCATATAAAGACTAATCTCTTTTGTCAATAAATGAATCAATTCTAAGGTTAAAGTTAATTTTTCATTAAAAAAATAAAACATTTTTTATTTTTGGTCATTATTTTTTATATATTTTAATTTCTTTTGACACAAACAGAAATATATTTTCTGTTTTATTTTGTATGCCTAGTGATATCCTCAAATTTTAAACATATCACTAAATCTATGTAAATAAGGCTTCCTAAAAAAGTTGTGATATTTTTAAATTTTATGCATTACTTGAAACATTAGAGATATTTGCATAGATAGTTTTCTTTAATTTTATAGCATTTTTTGGTCAAAATCGAAAATATCGTGTGTATACAATATCAGAATTCAGAAATGTTATTTTTATAAATATTTTCAGAATGTGTTAAAGAAAACTAACAAATGTTTTATAAAACTTGTAAATACAGTGTTAGGACATGAACATTAATCTTCAACTAGCGAAGTAAATCTTCAACCACTAGATCACCACGAATTAATGAAATTTAGGATTTAAAAATTAAAAGTATAAGATAATAAAATTATGTTGTATTCAAATTCCGATATGCTACTTTTTTGTGGTTCATCGCTTAATGAATTAAAATTGTTATAGACAGAGCTGTGCCACCTTTAGTGGAAAAAAGGCAATGGCCTTAACCACATTTTTTTAAGCCACATATTAATAACAATATTAGTTAACTTAGTGAAAGATTTGTTGTTAGAGTTTCTAGGAGACTTTTTATTCAAAAGTTCAATGTGATAATAATTTTTACTTTCAAATCATAATTTATCTATCTTTTTTTACTATAAATCTGATGAACTTAAATTTATTGATCTATATATTATTTGTTATTTTATTATTTTAATATATTTTGATAGGTATTTGATATTTTAATATATTTTTAAATGACAAACTCATTAAAATGTCTTCTATATTTATTTTATACATAATTTTACATATTCAGTGATATAGATTTTACAGTTTGATTATCTTCAAGTTCTATGATTTGTGAAAATTATACACTTATAAAAGGCCATCATTTCTAAATTGTTTTAAGTCTTTAAATGTGTTGGCACGGCACTGGTTATAAATTTAGGTTTTTTCTTTGGTTTTATTTACAATTAGACTGATTTTACTCGTCAACACAATGATTTGTATGTCTTTAATAACATTAATCAAAAATATTTATTAGTTTTTCTTTACAAAAATATCTAAGTTTAAACTAGACAAATAGGTTTGGTAATATCTGTTACTTGGAAGTAAGGTTGACAAACCTTGTCTGTGCAAATCTTAATCCTCAGATTGATGATCTACATCCATTGTCTTTTGACTTTTTTCTCTCTTTTCTTTCTCAAGGTATTTATTTTATGGAGAGAAAGAGAGAAAGTACATTGAAATCAGTATTACTCAGAATTTTGTTTAGTGTATTAATATATTTCTTTATTCTCTGCTATCGCTAGTTTTTGTTTTTTGGTATTATACAATTGATAGTTTTTTTTCTTAAATTCATAATTTTGTCTACATATATATTTGTAACTTGTTTACTGATTTTGTTTCGTTCACCATCACAGCCATTGATTAATCGATTTAAAAACATATATCCTGATTATTTTTAAATAAAAACATCATGTGATCTCAAATTATTATAATGAAATGTAACGAGGTTGTGATTCAAAGTCAAAAGTCAAATCCTATCTATATGCTGTCTCTGTATAATTGAACGCGGTTTTAGAAAGAGAAAACAAAATTCTTTTACGAAATATTTTTTTTTAAGAGAAAAACAGACAATTTAATATTTGCAGATTTTAATCGAGATCTTCCGGGCCGCTTCCTTATCCCCTTTTCATATTGACTCACTACGGACCCTACTTCTCTTATACCATTTTAATAATTTTCCAAACTTCATTTAATTCATACGAATTATAGACCTATATCACCTATTCATTATATATCAGGTATTTAAATTCGTTTCTTGCGGAAATCGGCCAAAATTTTGAGATTGAATTAAGTTTTAAATTTATTTGTGTGTGTGTGTGTGGTGGGGGGCGCTAGTAGTTAGTAGGTGATGTTTTTGTCGTGAACTGATTACCCAAATTAACTAAGAGAATTAACTTCCAATGAAAATCGAGTTTATAGTCACAATTTCAAACTTCACCGCGAATTTATGTGTTCTACTATTGAGCTCTCTCTCGCTCTCTTTTTTGCTCATACTATCTAATTATAATTACTAGTTTACAACCTATATTTGTCCGCAAATAAAAGAAAAAATATATGTACAACCAACTTTTAAAAGGTTTGACTTTTGGACCGAAATATCAATCAATTTGTAATACATTACATACTCAATCATGCATTGATGCGATCTAAATCCATTTAGTCCCAATTTACACTTCTAACCTAATTGGAATACAATATGAAGAAAATTTAAAGAGATAAAAGTCAGACTTAATAATAGAAGTAAAATACCATAAGCATAAGGTCTTAAACATTTGGTATTTTACATTAACTCGGTTCGCTGCATTTGAAGTACCGACACGACAATACGCGTGGCAAATTATTTGGGGTATATGCAGAAAAATAATTTAATGCAATTGTTTCAAAATTTAAAATTTTGGAGATAAATCATCCAAGCGAGCCGACAAAGAAAGAATTCATCTACTCGAAACTCAGATGGACGTTAGTACAGTAGTTTTGTTAGATTCCGTCAAGACAGAGATTTTAATTTCAGTATAGGTTACTACTTACTAGTGTATTTACACCTACTACTACATATAAAAATTGATTTTTCTATTCATCCATCCTTTCTTTTGTTTCAATATTTGGTTTGGTTGGTAATCCATAAAATGGAAAAAAATGAATGGTTTGATGACAAAAAATATTTTTGTGATTCTACACAATTGATCAATTTTTTTTTTTTGTCGACACACACAATTGATCAATTATTCACAATTATATGGGTTTGCAGTTTATGTGTCAGTTGTGATATGCAAATTAAACAAAAAATTCTAAGATGTAATAATAAAACTCAAGAAAATTATGGCAAAAATCATTTTATTGTTTAATAATATAATTTTACTGCACGTATTTGTTTTTACGTGCTATAATTTGGTATTCTATATATAGTTTTAGCCACAAGAACCCATCCATTATATATCGATATATCTTTTTTCAATAGATCTAATTTAATTTGCAACATATAGCATGTTATTAATTTTTATTTAGAAAAAGTTGCATACATAACCCTGAAAAATATATGCTCAATTTATTAATCTTTGATGTGAAACAAATAAACAAAATGCTTTAAGGAAATAGAATAAAGATATAGATAAAAAATCTGAAAGCTGATTAATGATTATGAATTATAAAATGTGAATAATAATTATATTACTATAAAGATAGTTTTCTTGAAACTCTGTAATGTTTAATGTCTCGTGACCTGGCGAATACATGAAAGAAACAGAAAACTTTATGCTTTTTTTTTTTCTTTTTTTTCTGGCCAAAGCTTATTTGATTAAATGAAAAAAAAAAGATTTTCTTTCGAACGTGTGGTACTCTCTGTATCCATCTATATAACGAAGAAGACAGCAATGGCTTTTTATGAACTTCTAAACCTTACTCTCGAAGACTCCTCTTTTACACATTTCATTACGTGAATACGAATCTGAAGAACCATTTTCTCAAGGTAAAGCTGTTTTTTCTTCATAAAGATGAAGTTATTTTCTATTTTTTTTTTTTTTTTGGTAAAGAGTTATTTTCTATTTTCTTAGATGTTTCTCAGTTCTTCCATTTTTTTGGACAATGGTTTCTTCCATCTTGCTCTATACGAACGAAAGATCTTCTATTCCATATTGATATAACTCAGACTTTCTTGTTCACCCGTTGAAACAAAAAAAACATAGCTTATTAGATATGCTTCGTAGTTCTTGTTTCTTATGTTTTGAAGTTTGTTCTTGATTTATTCAGTTTTTAACCTGTAAATTGTAACTTGTGAGTAATCTCTGGAATTCATCGGCAAAAAAGAGAAAGTAATCTTTAGCACTTAACCTAGTAGCTACGGTCGTATAATAATAATGTAGAAGTCCTGCAATTTTTTTTGTTTCAATCTTATTATTTCATTCAGGAAAAGGCTTTTATTCCCAAATAGAAGACGGTTCAACATATTGAAAATTTATTTGAATTTAAAAAGGGTTATATCTTAATCGAATTCTCATTATTTTCATGATTCTCATTTTGCCCCTCCCGACGCCAAAAATTTCGGTCTGTTTAAGTTTGGCCTAGAATGATATTTTCGAATACTCCGTATTTTAATTCATTTTCATAGAGCATTCAATTCAAATGCAATCTAACAACTAACAATTGCAACGTGGTGTGTTAACTAGCGAGTAAGTAATTATATTATACCTAATATATTAATGGCATTTGTTTAATATCTTTCATACTTAATACTACAATTTTATGTAACAGTATAATTTTAACCAAATAAAAAAAAAGAGTATGAATATAAATTGAATTATTTCGGTGGACTACACCAATCGAGGTAACTATTAAATCCAACTAAAACACACACATGGACTTGTCATTTTGTTCCCCGACTTTTTGGTGCACAAACAGACCAATGGTGATATTTTTTATTTTTAATACTTATATATTTTCTCAATTCAAAATTTAGTACTTTGAGACACTGTTGATTAAGAACGGTGGTATTTTTGGTAACCAACAGAAGTTAGCCTTATTTTAACACCGTTTGTTTACTAAAAATAAATAAACAAATTACACAATTACAATTACTTGAGATCCGATCACATCTCGTGATCTCTAAGCATTTGTTTGAACCATTATCTGGGAGACAACTTAACATTCTAATCGAAATTTCTCACCATTAGCCACAACAAGATTCTTTTAACTAACTAAATCGTGAGTTATATCTATTTATTTATTACAGAATGGGAAGGCTAAGGCAACTATGGTCAAGTCTTATGGTGTTAGCCGTGGTGGTGATCGGAACCGGAGCTGTGCCCATCACATATCTTGAATCTGCTGTGGCTAAAGGAGCCGGTACGCAACTTTATTATTCTTTCCAAAATACTTTATTGTTTCTTCTTTTCACAGTAGGGGTGAGGCTAAAATGAGCTGAACCGAATAAACCAGACTGAACAAAAGAAAATTAAACCGAAACCGAATAAAATCTAATTTTAGCCTGAACAGCGACAAATTTAAACCCAAACGAAGCTAACCCAAAGATATCGTGCAACCGAATTAAGATTAATATTATTTTTTAATAACTTTGTATCAAAATTTGGAAAAAGAAAAAATCAAACCGAACCAAACCGAAATTTTGCTGATGGGATGAAAAGAAAATGCAGTTTTAGTTCAAACCTATTCTTTCTATAACCGAATGCCATGCTTAATGGGTTTGAACTAAAACTGAATAATTTGGATTTACAAATAGAACATCGGATTATTATTGTTTGGTACGTAATACTAAGTTTTTTTTTTCAAGACTAACTTGACTGGTGAATATTTTTCATCTAAACTTCTTTTCTCGAGATATAAAAATTTTGAAATCAAACATATTGTATTCTAAATTGTTTCGAATCGACCTCATACGAAAACTACGAACTAACCGATTTGTTTTTAAACTAATTTGATTTGTTATAATTAATTACTATATTTTTGTAGTGTGTTTGGATGGTAGCGCACCAGCTTACCATTTCGATAAAGGATCTGGCTCAGGAGTGAACAACTGGATCGTTCATATGGAGGTTAATTGAATTAACTTCTAAGTTCTATCTTATATTGAATATAATATATCACAAATATGTAGTTAATTAAGAATATACGACTAAGTTAACTAAATATATAACTATGTTTGTACATTAGGGAGGAGGATGGTGCACTGATATAGCTACATGCGTAAAACGTAAAAGTACAATGAAGGGTTCGTCTAAGTTCATGAACAAAGACTTCGGTTTCTCCGGTATCTTGGGTGGCAAGCAAAGCACCAATCCAGGTTCTTAACTTTTTATTATTTTTTTTGTTCGATTTGATGATTTAATTTGTTTCTCATGTTTACAATGAGATTGAATCGGATTTGGGTTTTTTTTTTTTTTTTTGCAGACTTTTATAACTGGAATAGAATCAAAGTTCGGTATTGCGATGGTTCATCTTTCACCGGTGATATAGAAGCCGTTGATCCGGTAATTCATCACTAATCTTAATTCTTTGAAATCACGGATTAATTACATATTTCATATTTAACATGTAAACTGTAATACTGCGTTTTCAGTATTATCGATCCTTGTAAGCACAACTAATTTATCACATAGTGGAAATGTTGTCGACATATGCATAAAAATGTATTATTGCGTAATCTCATATGACCGGAAATTTGAAAAAAAATTCAGACGAACAAGCTGTTCTTCCGCGGTGCTAGGGTTTGGCGTGCAGTGATTGATGATCTTATGGCTAAGGGGATGAGTAACGCTCAAAACGTAAGAAAACTAAATCAAATTTTAGTATTTTTTTTTAATCTTTTTATTTAGCTTTTGGGGTTGCAAAAGTTAATTTTTTGTTGCATCGATCTTTAGGCGATACTTTCCGGTTGTTCAGCCGGAGCATTAGCTGCGATTTTACATTGCGACGAATTCAAGTCCATTATCCCCAAAACGGCTAAGGTCAAATGTGTTTCCGACGCCGGTTTCTTCATTCACGGGTAACATTCATAATCTTAAGAAAATCATTCAAAAAATTACATTATTACATAACACTAAAGAACATCTTAGAAAACTATTTGTTAATTTTGCTGATTTAAACAGTAAGGACATCAGTGGAGGATCTTACATCGAATCGTACTACGGCAAAGTCGTAGCGACCCACGTACGGCCTCTCTCTCTCTTTTCCAGCTACATGCATTTCTCTAAGACATTATAGACTCTTTTGGTCGAAGCTAATCTTTATCACTACGTATGTGTAGGGCTCCGCAAAGAGTCTTCCTGTTTCTTGCACCTCAAGTATGAAGCCAGAATTGGTAAGTCTCTATCAAAGCATCGTTAATGTAGACTTTTTATTTGCGAGTCGGTTAATTATATCTTATAAACTCTATGTTTGATTGTTTTTGATCGCAGTGTTTCTTCCCACAATACGTTGTTAAGACCATGCAAACACCTCTTTTCGTCATCAATGCCGCCTTTGATTCTTGGCAGGTTCGATTTTTATCTGATTGTCAATTTTTTCGCCGAAATATTTTCCGAGATTAAAATTTGATTTGGGATTTGTTTTTTTTTTTTAAATCTTGCAGATCAAGAACGTTTTGGCCCCAACTTCTGTTGATAAACGCAAAGAATGGAAAACTTGTAAGCTTGATCTTAAGAAATGTACGGCCGCTCAGCTTCAAACCGTTCAAGGTATGTATATAAGAAAAATGGGATTACCTACTAAACTGAAATTAACATACCGATCTGGTGAGATAATGTCTACTTGTCTTAACTGATTGTTTTACAATTTTTCTCTTAGGGTATAGAGACCAAATGTTGGCTGCTTTGGCGCCGGTTCGAGCCACGACGACGAGAGGATTGTTTCTAGACTCTTGCCATGCTCATTGCCAAGGTGGAAGCGCAGCTACTTGGTCAGGCGCTCAAGGTCCCCAAGTCGGGGATACGGTAAGCACTCTAATTTGTATTTATACAAAGCAAAACTTTAAAGAAAAATGTCATAAACTAGATTTTTTTATACAAAACAAAACTATAAAGGAAATTTTCGAAAATTTTCCAAAGCTTGCATTCGAATTTCTTATAAATGAAACATCAAATATATAGTATTTTTGAGAATTTATATTTAGCAATTAGAATTACTTAATTTCTCTTAATTTTGGTGTTCTTTTCAGAAAATGGCCAAGGCGGTTGGAGATTGGTTCTATGAGCGGAGTACGTTTCAGAACGTTGATTGCCCATCGCTGAATTGCAACCCTACTTGTCCTGCTGTATCTACTGAAGACTAAATTTTTTATTGATGTTTCAACATTGGAATAAATTTATTCATCTTTGGAATATTGTTCTTGAAATTTAAATATGTTGTATAACTAATTACAATTACTTATACATACAAAAATAATAAAAATTGTGCACTCTTACAAACAATCATGTAACTGTTATTTATTATCAACTTTTTTTTAGTGTTCCAAAATTCATAAAGAATCAATCTTATATGTTTTTGGGACCATAAAGCCTTTGACTTTCACCACATGGACAGAAGTTGCAATGGAGAAGCACATATATAATTAGATATATATATATTTTTTTTTTAATGTAATCGAGAAGCAAAGATGCTTATGAGCACCCAAAACATCATTAGATTTACTTCTTACAGATATGATGGATCAATTAAGTACAGAAGATTACATTTTCTTGATAGAAAGTGTGAATTTTGTTTTTTCAACTGTAAAGTACAACGAACAAGCAAAAATACAACATTTTGATCCAGTTCCAGAAAAAAAACCAATGAATGTTCTTGGTCTCTTGCAGAATCATAATATCTAAGACTGCAATCAGTGTCGTTCAGGTGATGGATCATGTCTACAAATGTCTCCACGACATAGTGGACATACTCTGCATTGTCATAAAAACATCATTAGATCACATCTCAAGCACGAAAAAGGTCAAAAATTGTTGCCACAAAATCAGAACATACCTGTGAATCTCTTTCAGCCATTTATCCACACATGTTCTATGGAATTCATGATGACAAGGAAGTGTCCTTATAGTGTCTCCTTCTTCATACTCAACAAGGCATATGTAACATCTGAAAGATTCCAGAAAAAAGAACATATGTTTAGTCAATAATGTCTCGACTTTCGAGCAAGTAAAAGAACACAAAAGCAACTGGGGACTAGTAGGCCTTACTGTGACGAATCATCGCTTTGTGATTTAGTATACTTTTTTACAGGTAACAAGTCCACAACGTCGTTGGGTGCAGGAACAGATCCTATTGATGATACTGATGGTTGTTGAGAGGATAAAACAACAGATTGCTGATGAATTTCATCAAGAACCTAAAACGAACACACCATAAATCCTCAGCATACAGAGAGAAAGAGTGTGGCAATACTTGTTAATGGGAAGACATGCAAATTTACCTCGAAGAGAGCTTCAGCTAACAATACTATCCTTGAGATGCTAGCTCTTGCATTTGTTTCATCGGTTGTAGTTGTAGTTGTTGTAGTTGAGCCACGGTTAGTAACTGCACGGCATGTGCAACGACCTGCTTGATCTTGACCAGATAAGACACAAGCCCTATCATGATGCCCTGTGACATTTTCAAACCGGCTTCCTAATCTCTGAAGAGCACGAACCTGTGGAATTTAGTTATAGTTGCATCAGTTATTAGATCTTGAGTTGAACAGACACATCAAACGATGAAATATTCGACAGAGTTTACAAACCTGAGATCTTATTCTTCTCCTTCTTTCAAGAAAATCTGATCTGTGCTCTAATAAACCTTGATACCTTCCTTCTCTGACAAGAGGACTTGGCGTCTCATGATCTTGGATTCCAAATAACGTCCTTCGAATGGTTGTAGCGGAACGGTTAAGTATAGATGTTGAACTCACAGGAGTATCTTCTGCTGCTGCTGTATCAGCAGAGAAGAGATCAGTATCGTCTTCTCGCGGTCGGAATGTGAAATCAGAGAGTGAAGATCGGCGAAGGACTCTGTCTCGGAGCCGTCCAACACTCAGAGTTCTGCTAAATCTAACATTCCGCTCAATGGAAGGTTCACGACCAACGTGTCTTCTATCAAGAGCTCCAGCGTAAGTACTGTCCATGCCATTAACTACTATCGGAGAACGTAAGCTACCATCAATATCTCTAACTACATTATCAGGAATTCTCGGAGATTCGATTCTATCAACGAGCCTAATAGCAGATTGTGAAGGTGAAGTAATAGCACTTTCTTCTCGTTCAATCGTTTGAGGAGAGGAAGGGACTGGATAAGTGGTGTTAAAGGATCTTGAGCTTGAAGCTCTGCTAAGTCTAGAGCTTATGTTACCAGGAATGAATTTGAAATGCGAGAAAACGCGACCTGGAGTGGTAGATTCTTGAATCGAACCTCCAACATGTACAGTGCTTACACTTGCTTCTTCTTCTTCTTCAATACCACAATCATCATCAAGCTCAAGATCATCGTTTTCAGATTTCTTCTTATCATTTAATTCTTTATCATAGCAATCCTCTGCTTCCCCTTGATTCCTAGATTCTGTTCTTCTTCGTGAGACACTTCCATTACTCTTCCTCATCCATCTATTGCATACCTGAAGATGAATTTGACTCAATTACAGATTCTTTTTTGGGAACAAAATCAATGAAGGTTGTATAGAAATCAAAACCAAACCTGTACATCATCATCGTCACTGTCGTGAGAAGTAGAAGATGAAGCAAGGCAAGAAGAGTGAAGAGAACAAAGCATACTCATTGATCTTCTCCTCCTTCCACCACCACTCAAAGACGACGGAGGTGGAGCCGTGACGGAATCTTCTCTCGCCGTCGAAGACGGCAACGACGAGCCTCGACATGATTTGCTCCGCCCAGATCCCATCTTCTTCTTATCTCAAAGCGAACAACTTTTCTGCTTAAATTTACGTCATTGCCACAAGACCTTCTCATCTTCAAAACCAGCCATTGGAAATCTCCAAGTCAAAATCCAAAAAATCGGAACTTTTTCTTCAGATCTTTACATTGAAACGCGAATTCGTCATTGACAATGCAGAATCGAAAGCCCTAATAATTGAATTTCAGATCTGAAACTCGATCGAAAGGGAAAAAAAACTGCAAAAACTACCTCGAAAATGCGAGGAATTGAATTAGCTAAGTAAGCTATGTATGTTTCTTTATCAAAGAGAAATGCTTTGAACAAAAGAAAAGATTGTTTTTTTAGGTGATCGGAGTTATCGAAGAAGGAGACAAAGCACCTATCTGCGATAGAGAGAGAGACTTTTACGGGACGAGTGTGTGTTTGATGTTCCAAGGAGAGGGAACAATAAACCAAACTCCCATTTCTTTAATTTTCAATTTCTCCTTTTTTTCGAATTATTTTAACGTTTTTTTGCTTTTGAAATTTTATCCTTTTCCAATCATCATCACTGGACTCGATTGACGACTACAATTGAATTTTTTTTCTTTTTTTTTCTTTTTTTTTTCTTCTTGAAATGGTCAGTAGAGGTGTGAAAAAAGAAAAAACTGATTCAGTTAAAATCAAACTGAAATTTGTTTATAAACCGATATCAATTGAACTGATAAACCGGAAAGCCGAAATCAAAATCAAACCAAACACGATTTCAGTTTACATAAACTAAACCGATTATACAACCATTTTCAAGCTGATCCTATTTCAGTTGATTATGGTGTGCAATCCGATTTATAATTTGGATTCGGTTTGGTTGTCCCGGTTTGAAGTTTTGTGAAAAAAAAAAAAACCAGTAATTCGGTTTGATTTCAATTTGGTTTTGTTTTGGTTTGGTGGATTCCGTTGTTTTAAAATGGTTGTGAAAATGGGTTATATATGTAATTTTGGTGATCACCGACGTTTTATGTAATTAATCATATTTACCGACGCTCGTTTGTAAATTAACAAAGTTACAAAAAAACTCAAATGTGGAAACAGCAGAGAGAGGAGAGAGCAAAAGCTTCACGGCCAAAAAAAAATGCACACTCTAAACACCACCGGATCGCGAGATCCGATCAACCCGAATCCGAACCCGAACTCAAATCTCGACCCGGATCAGTTTCCCCACCGGAATAACAATCATCCACAGTCTCGGCGGCCGCGCGGGTTCGCCGCGGCTGCGGCGGCGTCGATGTGTCCAGCTGAAAGCGACAACGGAAACATCGCCGGAATCGGCGGTGGAGAGACGAGCAGCGGAGGAGGAGGAGGAGGAGGAGGAGGGAAGGGGAAGAGAGAGAGGGAGAAGGAAAAGGAGAGAACGAAGCTGAGAGAAAGACACAGACGAGCAATCACTAGTAGAATGCTCGCCGGACTGAGACAGTACGGGAACTTTCCGTTACCGGCGCGTGCGGATATGAACGATGTAATCGCTGCTTTGGCGCGTGAAGCAGGCTGGAGTGTCGACGCCGACGGTACTACTTATCGGCAATCACATCAGCCAAACCATGTGGTTCGATTCCGATTTTGGAACCCTTTTTTTCTCAAAAATTCAAACTTTTCAAAGACCCATTACGACATTTGACCAGAAAGAATCAGTAGATTGTCGTAGCTCGAACATTTCTCAGTTGTTGTTAGCTTACACTGTTCTTGGTTATACATCTGAAACGAAATGTAGCAAAGTTGTTTCCTTTTAACCTGTTTCAGTTAGGGTGTATCTGAAAAGCTGAGCAATTTAATCTCAAATATGTATAGACCTTCCCTGTGTTATTAGCTTGTTCTGTGATCACTTGGTTTAAGTTTGTTTCTGAAGCTAAGTTATAAACCAGTAACAGATATAGCATCATGAGCTTGGTATATAAAATTTTGATTGTTTTCATGCCACTGGACAGGTTCAGTTTCCGACGAGATCTATTGAGAGTCCTCTTTCTTCTAGTACTTTGAAGAACTGTACTAAGGCTACACTTGATTGTCAGCAGCATCCCGTTCTTAGAATCGAAGAGAACCTCTCTCCTGTGTCTCTCGGTTCTGTGGTTATCGCTGAGAATGATCACCCCGGGAATGGAAGGTATACGGGTGCTAGCCCTATCGCCTCAGTGGGATGCGTGGAAGCCAATCAGGTAACGATTGAACACTGGCATTGCATTGATAGGAGAGTTGAATTTGAGCTAGAGTTCTGTTTTGTCTAACAAATTTGTTGTTCATTCAGCTTATACAAGATGTGCATTCCACAGAGCCTCGTACTGGCTTCACAGAGAGCTTTTATGTCCCCGTGTACGCCATGCTTCCAGTGAGCTTCTGATGAGAGAACTGTGTGTTCTTTTACCACTTTTGCCGCCATGCTTAGTTTTCTTGGGCTAACGTTCTATACTTTGCCTTTTCAGGTTGGCATTATAGACAACTTCGGCCAGTTGGGTGATCCTGTAGGTGTGAAACAAGAATTAAGTTACATGAAGTCATTAAATGTCGATGGAGTGGTCATAGATTGTTGGTGGGGAATAGTTGAAGGCTGGAATCCTCAGAAATATGTATGGTCTGGCTATAAGGAGCTCTTTAACCTTATCAGAGAGTTCAAACTTAAACTACAGGTATGAAAATCCTTACTTGTATATCTTTTTCAAATTCATCTTATGTGACCAAACTGTAACTATTGCGATAAAGAACAGTTTTTTTTCGTACTATCTTAGCAATGAGCGTATGGTATATTTGAAGGTGGTAATGGCATTTCATGAATATGGAGGGAATGCGGTGTCGTTGCCACAGTGGGTTTTGGAGATTGGAAAAGACAATCCAGACATATTTTTCACTGACCGTGAAGGAAGAAGAAATTTCGAGTGTTTGAATTGGTGCATTGACAAGGAACGGGTATTGCATGGACGAACTGGTATAGAGGTACGTAAGAAGAACATCCATTTCTCGTACACTGCTAATCATCTTGGTGTATTATGTGAACATTGCATTTTCATGTTACTGAATATTTCAGGTCTATTTTGATTTTATGAGAAGCTTCCGGTCAGAGTTCGATGATTTTTTTGAGGAGGGGCTAATTACTGCAATTGAGATTGGTCTTGGAGCTTCCGGTGAACTAAAGTATCCATCTTTCCCGGAAAGGATGGGTTGGATTTATCCCGGTATTGGTGAGTTTCAGGTATTTTTCAGATTGCTGAACTTTACTTCTTAGTTCCAACTTGTGAATGATGAAGTCTGAGCATGGTTAATATTTTGATCTACTATGTCTTATTGCAGTGTTATGACAAATATTCACAAACGAGTCTGCTAAAGGAAGCAAAATCACGAGGATTCGCTTTCTGGGGTAAAGGACCAGAGAATGCTGGTCAATACAATTCTCAACCTCATGAAACTGGTTTCTTCCAGGAAAGAGGTGAATACGACAGCTACTACGGTCGCTTCTTCCTAAACTGGTATTCGCAGTTGTTAATAGGACATGCAGAGAATGTCCTCTCTCTTGCAAATCTTGCTTTCGAAGAGACAAAGATTATCGTCAAGGTACAATATTTTTGTCACTCGACCTTCAAAATCAGTAACGACCATAACAGTGAGACTCATACATCAACAAAAATGCAGATACCGGCGATTTACTGGTCATATAAGACAGCTAGTCATGCGGCTGAATTAACTGCAGGATACTATAATCCTTCGAATCGTGATGGATATTCTCTTCTTTTCGAAACTCTGAAGAAATATTCAGTGACTGTGAAGTTTGTGTGCCCTGGTCAGCTAATGTCTACTAATGAGCACGAAGAAGGCTTAGCTGATCCAGAAGGTTTAAGTTGGCAGGTAATGAAACATTTTTTAATATGTGATGATGACTTTAGCTTTCTTGAATCTCTGCAAATTTTATTCTTGAGCTTAAGTTTGGTATATTTGTGGCAGGTGATCAATGCAGCGTGGGATAAGGGACTTCTTATTGGAGGAGAGAATGCGATTACTTGTTTCGATAGAGAAGGTTGCATGAGATTAATCGAAATGGCTAAACCAAGAAACCATCCAGATAGCTGTCACTTCTCCTTCTTCACTTATCGCCAACCGTCTCCTCTGGTTCAAGGATCGTCTTGCTTTGCAGATTTGGACTACTTTATAAAACGCATGCACGGTGAGGCTTTCCCGCACGTACACACGCACAATCTATCGCGCCTATTTGCATTGCCAAGTTGATGTTTCTTCTAACTCTGTTTTGTTTCTTTGCAGGAGACATGCAGAGATAAACAGTGGTTGGAAACCAAAACAGAGTTAGTCTTGTTCGAAAGTTCAGAAGCTGTTTTGTTTTGTTATTTCTCACTTCTCAGGGCCTAAATTAAGAAGATTGAAAATTAAGAAGGTTGATCTTTTATTGTAAACCTCTACACACTTAACTAGTTGATGATAATGATAAACTAACTAATTTAACACCTTACCTTTTCCAAATTCTTCAAACCAAAACACTAACAAGTCTTAGTGTTGCACCTAAACAAGAAGGTATTAATGTGCAATTTGACTACAAATCCTTTTGACTAAACCCTAAAATCCTTGACCACATCCTTTTTCTTGTAAATACACAAGATATGGCGATAAAATCCAGAAATTTCAACCTTTTCATCAATGCATTTCATCTTTTTTCATCAATACATTTGACATTGTTGATAAAACATATAAATATTCACTATCCAGAGTAAGAAAGAAGATAAAAAAAAAAGACAAAACATGTCCTCTTTTAGGCAAGAAGCTATAGAAATTTATGTTGGTTACAGTTGAGTTGACGGTAGTCTATGAGTTCATGGACTAAGAAACAAAGCCTATATTCATTCATATATCTAAAAATGAGAAAAGAAATTAACAACTAACTAACAAAATGGTAATAAACGTATCTGCAGATTCATTATCATTCTCATTATAGAAATGCTCTTACTACATCTTCTTCCTCATCCTCACTTTCATCAATCTCTTGATCATGACCTGTTGTTTGACTCTGATTCCTGCAGCTTTATTGATCTGCCATAAAAGAAAAGTTTTATTGAAAACTAAATAGCCATATATGCTACTAACCAAGTCGATAATTAATTAAGAGGATGATTGATATGTAACCTGGGCTGTAACAAGTTGTAAGCGACCTTATAACTGTAATAACTGTTGAAGAGCTGTTCCTCGGGACTTGGTAATCTGGAAGAACAGTATAACATAGTTAAACCAAGCATATTTTACAGAACTAACAAAAATCCTTGGCTCGAGTCTTATCTCTTACGTTATGCAATGTATTAAGCAGCTGTTGGTTTTTTGGTTCTTAATGACTATGATTCACCTTCATGCTGTATATCCATGGAAGAAGATGCTTAAAATAAATGCAACTGTGTTATGACCAAAGCAATGTCATAGCTGAAGAATAAACGAAAATGCTAGTTTAGTAGAGAAGAATATTTTTCGGAAAATAAAAAGGTAGAGAAGAACGTTTGGGTTTTGAGCGTTAACTTATTTTCCAATGGTAAAAACTTCAATAGTAAGCATCACTGAGACAACTGCAAATATAGCAAACGAGCAAAGCAGAAAACCAACCTTGTCTGCCACATAAGAACCAGAGATTCTAGAGTCTTGAACACAGTGGAAATTAAAGAAAAATTGCCAATGCAAAACAGCAGACTTTAACTGTCAATACAAAAGTTTACGACTACTATGATTGGTAGATTTAAAGAAAAATCTCTACAGAAATGTGGTAGAAGGATGTACAAATGCCAAAGAACTGAGCATCCAGAAAGGAAATATACCTTCTTTCGTGCTAGATAAGCCTCAAGATCAACTCCATCAATTACTGAAGCATAGGAAAGATTGCTTGGTTCATCTGTACCTTTAAGTATACCTAACAATCTCAAGCTATCTTCCATGCTTGGAAACTGACTGTGTGTGTGTTGTAGGGAGAAGGATCCCATTCTTAGAGGCATTTAGCAAGTCGTTGCCAAACTGCAACACCATTTTTGGAATGATGGTTTCACCAGCAATCCAGACACAATAAATGCATCCGCAGAACCTAACTGAAATGGAAAAAAAACACATATCGAAAAGCCTATAGCCACAATCTCGCTTGCTTGGTAACTCAAGAAATCTGAACACGAAACTAAGTCAAGAAATCAGTTAATTCACAAGATCAAGGTAAACTCAGAGATCTAATTACATATTTACCTGTAAAGGAACTTAATTGAACATATTGAATCTCATCATCACCATTTTTAGGCCAATGTAAAACCAACATAAAACCCTAAAAAATACTCAAAACCCCATAAAGCATAAAGTTTCGATATTTACAGAGTTTTCCATCAGAATCTCTACCTTGAAGATTCTATTAAAACCCTAATTCAATTAGCCAATGAAGCGAATTCGAAGACAAGATCTATAGCTACCAAACAAAACCCTAGATCCTGAAAATTCAGAACATGTACATTATTCTTAGCCTTCAAAATCAAATAAAGGATTCAATCAATCTTTGAAGAAAGAACTAAAGTTTCTGGATTTGGAGAAAACCATATACCGAATCAAACAACTTACGCAACTTTTCAAACAAAAAAAAACTTAAAACAAGATTGTGTCAGATCTGAAAGTTAGATCCTTTTCCTTTCTTTCTTTTCACCTCGAGCTCCGATTCAGTTGATGCAAGGCGGGATCCGATCCCTGCTCACAAGCCAAACATGGCAAGCCACGTGGCGGTGTCAGCCAATCAGTTCCCGACCTGCACCAAGCGAATCCGAGACCGCCGGTAACTTTATCATCATCATCGTATTCCTCTATCTCTCTCTCTCATTGCAAAAAGATAAAGAGAACAGAGAACGAGAAACAGCTGCCATATCTGGCAAAGATTTTTATCTCTCTATCAAATATCGAGAATTAATTAGCCTCCTTTGATGGGTTTTAACGAAAATAACAGACTAATCATATATTGACGCGTGTCTTCTGAAAAGGTCTTCTCTTCCAACACATTATTTTCCAAAGTTCCTAACTAGATTTGAGTGAAATAAAGCAGTAAGCATCTCCACCCCTGGGTTGTTAACATTATTTAATAATAAATTTGACATCTTTAAAAATTAAGAATCTTTTCTCTATTTTTAAGTTCATTCCTAATATTCTTTAAGAATTGCTAAAATATTAAATGGGTTGAATTAATGGATAGTAAGAGCATCTCCACCCCTTATACTCATGAGAGGTTGTTAACATTATTTAATAATAAATTTAATATCCTTAAAAATTAAGAATCCCTTCTCTACTTTTTAAGTTCATTCTTCATATTCTTTAAGAGTTGTTAAAATGTTAAATGGGCTGAATTAATGGGCTGATTTTTTAGAAAAATATTCTTCTAAGGCCCAAAACAATGTGAACATATTTTCTGGCCCAATTTGTAAATCATCCGACATCAATCCGTAAACCAAATTTTATTGCATTACACATAATTTATAACATTCAAAACATGAAAATTATACAAAATATATATAAAATCATTATTAAAATCAGAAATACATGTAATTAGCCAAAATTTTGCCATATATGCTCAATTAAATCGGCTTTCAATCTGTCATGTATTTCGTTATCACGAATTTCATTCTGGATGCCGATCATATTGCTAATATTTGTAGGCATATTCCTTGAATACGTCATATCCACCTGTGAAGTTCTGCTTCCTTCTACTTGTTGGAATCCAGATACATCAAACTGAGTGTGATTTGCTCGTTCGTTTTCCACTACCATATTGTGCAATATGATGCATGCTCTCATAATCTGACCTATTTTTTCTTTATCCCATATAAGAGCTGGGTTTTTAACGATAGCAAATCGAGCTTGCAAGACGCCAAAAGCTCGCTCGACATCTTTTCTAGTGGATTCTTGTCGGTTTGCAGCATTTTGCTTTTTCACCCTGAGGACGATTAATAAATTGTATAAATGTTGCCCAGTTTGGATAAATACCATCGGTGAGATAGTACGCCATACGATACTTGTGTCCGTTGACCCAATAATTCACTTTTGGGGCTCTTCCTTCTAATATATCGTCAAACACGGGTGAACGGTCAAGAACATTGATATCATTTAAAGTACATGGCGGTCCAAAAAATGTGTGCCATATCCAAAGATTATATGATGCTACAGCTTCTAACACGATTGTCGGTTTTCCTGATCCACGTGTATACTGCCCTTTCCAAGCGGTAGGGCAATTCTTCCACTCCCAATGCATGCAGTCTATGCTTCCTATCATCCCGAGAAATCCACGTACCTCTCCAATATCGAGTAATTGTTGAAGATCTTCTGGGTGGGTCTTCTTAAGTACTCATCTCCGAACAAATGTATTATTCCTTGTACGAATTTTTCCAAGCATTTAATTGCAGTAGATTCACCAAGTCGGAGGTATTCATCAACCGCATCAGTCGCACAACCGTATGCCATCATACGGATTGCTGGCGTACACTTTTGTAGTGCAGAAAGACCAACCCGTCCGATAGCATCTCTCCTTTGCTGAAAGTACGGAATTTCTTGGGAGAGTCGATCAACAATACGCATGAACATAGGCTTGTTCATTCTAAAACGACGTCGAAATATATGAGGAGGGTATGTAGCATCTTCATTAAAATAGTCGTTCCATAAACGGTTGTGGCCTTCTTTACGGTGTCTTTCTATATATGCTCATTTCTTCTTTTGCCTTCTTGCGGCTTGCCGATCAAGAACAGCTTCTAACATATTGTTGATTTGTCGATCAAAAGCTTCTTCAATATTTTCCTCAAACGATCCATCATCATCACTATTATTGTTGTTTGATGAAGATGCCATCCTTTTAGTGTTTTTTTAAACAAGAAAATCGAAAATAGGGTTTGGATCAAATAGAATTTGAATAAAAGAGAATTGTCTACAATGATCAACAAAGAAAAATTAAAAGTTTGAGTTTGTGAGAACTTGAATTGTATAACAAAGTCTTTGAGTTCGTTTGATACAATAACAAAGAGAAATGTCTTCATATATATAACAAGGGAATGACCTACAATAATCTTACACGTTTGTGGTTTTCATCCACTAACAAATATGTGGGTTTACAATACTACAAAACAAAAGCAAATGGACCCATATTACAAAAGAGTGGTTTACAATACTAGACAACAACATCAAATGGACCCTTGTCTTCCACGTCGAAATCGAATATTGAAAAACATCCAAACAAGTACATTGCCCCTTGATGAATGCACTAGCCACTTCTCTTCATAAGAAAGCACAGATTCCTGCAAACAAGTAATAATAATTCACATTACCATTTAAACTTATTCAAAGACATCCAAACAAGTAATAATAATTCATCTTCATTAAAACAGACATTTAAGTTGTTAAAAACACAAATGACACATAAAACACATAAAGCATCATAAAAGTTTAAACGAAAAGACCGAAAAAAAATTATTAAGACAACAATTCAAGCAGCAACTTGGTCTTAACAGCCACTTCCACTTCAGATAGTGGTTCTGGTTTGGCGAGAAGTTGTTGTAGAATCTTGTTCTTCGAGACCTTGTCCTTCATGTCCAAATCTGCTTTTTTGATATCCCAGATGTTTTGTAACAGGATGAGATCTTCTTTACCACCGGCTGACTTGTTCCCATTCTGCTTAGAAGCTTTCTTTGAAGCCTTTACTCCAGGAGGTCGAGTGTCTGGTTGAGTGCTAAATGAATGTTCTTCGTCCTCTTCATCCAACCTTCTTTTCGAGCTTGACCCACCTTTCACCTTAGAAGCCGAGGACCACTTCTGGTCATACCGTAACTCACGCCATGCATGATCAAGTGTGAACTTAATCTTGTAATCGTTAAAAAAGATAGCATGTGCTGCTTTCATCACGTCATCCTCGTTTTGGCCTGATGACTGACTTTTCCGAGCAGCTTCGTAACACCCCACAAATTTACAAACATGATCGTTGATCCTACCCCACTTCTGCTTAACATGACTGAGCTCTCTGTTTGGCAATTCTGCGAGCTGCTCACTAGCATTAAAGTAATCTTGTATCCTCTTCCAAAACGCAGGAGCCTTTTGCTCATTCCCCACCACTGGATCCTTTGAGGTGTTTAGCCATGCGGTGATCAAAGCCACATCCTCCTTTGGTAACCACTGCCTTCTTTCCCTGCGTTTCTTTGTACCTTTGGTGACATTTGGATCATCAGGAGTTTGGCTACTTAAGAGAACCATTTCTGATGATCCAAGGTCTACACATGGCGAGTAACCATCATTAACTAGTTGACTAGTTAAGAGGTTAACAAAGCCATGCGGGTTACTCAAGGGATCGGTGGAATCCATTTTCTAGCCTAGTGTGTTTTTTGAACAAAGTTGAGAAGAACAAAGGCAAGTGTTTAGCGAGTTAAGGTTTTAGTGTTTAGAAGAAAGAAGTTTGTGTTTGTGATTAGGTGTTTTTACCGAGTCTGTTTGAGTTTTAAATAGCAGAAAGTGTTGAAGTTAATTTACCAAGCAAGCATTAACATCATCTACATCTTTACCTAACAAACACTCAAGCATTGATAATTTTTTAAGTGTAACAAGACTTTTACCTAACAAAGTTAAAAGCTATCCAGAGCATTTATCACAAAGCTAACCAGAATTTATAACAAATCCTAAACAAACCTAAAAGCTATCTCCTACAAAGTAAATTTGCAAACCAGAGTAAGGAAAGGTTTACCTTGCATCACAGATTCAATGAAATTGATGGGCCTTGAAAGAGCTGCTCTCCATTTTTCCTCCATTGTCCTAAAAAAAAAACAGAGAGAAGTTCCAAGTCATGTAAACGAACCAAGCATTAAACCCAACTAGACCTTTAATTGTTTCACCTAACAAACCACTAACAAACATTTATCACAAACTAGTTCAAGCTAATAAACAACTGATTACAAGTGTAAGCAGTAAACCAATCACTTTCTGAAATAAACAACCGATTACAAACAAACAAAGACAACCGATTAGAATACACCAAACAAACTAGTGACTCATACACCAAACAAACAGACTTTGACTCATACACCAAACAAGAATCAAGGCTGAACAAGAACAACCGATTAGAATACAAGAAATAAGACAACCGATTACAACTGTAAACCAACATGACCTTTAACCGATATATCACAGCTAATCAAATTGAGAAACATATGAAAACTGATCGAATTCAAACAATTTCTAGAGATTTATAACTACAGACAACCCAAAACATGCAAATTACTTAACTCAGAACATGCAACTCAATGATTCAATGTTTGGATCAAACCCTAAAGCAAGGAGAAAGCAAAATTCACTAAAGAAACTCACAAATCTCACAAAGAAACTTACAAATTTCATCTCAACTTCGCAATTTCAACTCAGAAATTCACTAGAAAAAAAAACCCTAAAATCATTACCTTCGAGAGTTGCTCTGATGCTGTGCTGATTCACCGCCAATCGTTTAGCTCGTCCATCCGCATGATGCTCCATCGATTTCATCCTCCGTCACCGATCAATTTTCTCCGTCAAAGACTGATTCTTGAAACTCCAAATCGTCGACTTTTTCTGATTTTTCTCGACGATGTCGACTCTCTTACCTCGACAAAAACTTGGACCGAAAAACACAAGAAAAATGGGGTTGGACTGAGATTTTTATTAGGTCATATATGATTTTAAGCCCAAATCCAAAAAAAGCTTCTTCCAATTAAAAACCGCCACATGGATATATACTCAAGAAAGAGAAACTTTTTCGTAAGAGTTTATTAACTCAGGATATAAGCTTTTACTAATTTTATGATTTATTTTTATTGCTTCAAAATCTTTATATCTCACTACATCTCTCGGATGGAGACGGTCTAAGTACTATCACGCGACCTGCACGTGAACATAAACATGCGACTATGCCACTCTCTCATTGGGTTTTTTTCGGTTTAATGTGGTATGGTTCGGTTTTCTCGACCGTGAATCTGAGTTTTATTCAATTCATGTAAAAAAGTATAATCAAATTAAAAAATAAATAATCAATTCCGATATATTGGATATATATCCAAATTTAATTACAAATATTATTCGGTATAAATGTTTATGCACTATTCGAATTATTTTCTAATTTATGAATTTCGATTTGACTCGGTTATTTCCGATCCACAGGAAAGTCGCCTATAGTCTATAAATTTGATATGTTTTTTTTTTTTGGTAAAAAGATTAGATTTGATATGTTCATAATCATAAAATCATATACACAGAACTTATAGATACAGTATCATCATAAATTATTTATTACAAAATATATGAGATCCTAGTTTGACTAGATCCTGGTTTGACTAGACTCGAATAATTCACAAAGAAAAAGTACTAAAAATATTTTTGAAGTATAAAAAGACTCACAAAAAAACTTAACCAACATAGTCCACGAACTCTGGCGGCGAGAGGACCGGGACCGAGCCACGACCGAGCAAAGTCAAGACCGAGCCAGCAGTGCTAAAGACTCGTGGAACCACTATTCGAGCAATTCTCGGTAGAGTTGGGTAAGTAAGAGTACCAACGATAAACCAATTGAGACTCATAAGAGCAACAGCATCTAAAGCCGGTTTGTTCTTGACCGTTTTGAAAAACTGAACCACACTTCTCAAAGAGATACCAACCACAGTGAAGAGTGCACCTATGAGTGGAGTACAAAGCTCCCGTTCTTTGGCTCCATACACTACTATACCCACCACGAGAGCGAGCATCGCGCTGAACATGCTTCTTGAAACCGCAATGTCTCTCTCCAAACCTAGAACTCTTGGTGTTAGCTCTTCGTCTTTAGGGATTGTCGATTTTGCAAACGGGTAAAGAGGTGATTTAACCGATGTAAACTCGGTTCTTCCCTTTGACACATAAGTGATATTCTTTGGCTTTGGTGTGCTAAGAATCTCACTCGGTTCTTCCTCGGCTTTGACTTTGCTTTTCTTGCTCCAATAGTCTTTTTCACAAACTTCCTTCAGTTTAAGATTTTCCTCCTTTAGTTCTTGCAACTGTCAAAATCCAAATGTTTTAGAACATATGTATATTTTGTTAAGCGAGAAGTCAATTAAACCAGAATATTCGGGCAGCATAAAATGTATTTGGTTATGAGAAGATTGATAAAACTGGTTTTGGTACCTCTGCCTCTAGCTTTTTGATTCTGGAACTGGCTTCTTCATTTTCATCTTCTAGTTCATCTAACTCGCGTTCCATGATTCGATATTCTTTGATCGCTGCTCGAAGATTGTCTTCAATTTCTTTTCTATTCCATTCAAGACTCTCTAGCTCATACCGCAACTCATAAATACTCTGCTCAAGCTGAAAATATACAAAAGATCCCCTTCAAATGCATAATTGGAAAATCTTATCAACTTTTCAAGAAGCTGCTTTAAAATAAACCAAATATCATCAATTTCTTGATCAAAAGTTACTTAACTCTCTAAAATCAAAAGAGGACACAATAGACTTATTTTGAATAACTACTGAAACAATTTTAAGATATGTTCGCCTAATCTTGAGGATCATTCCATTAATTAGAATCAAAAAAAGATTTACTAAAACATTAGTCAAAATTAGCCTAAATGATCAATAAAAGGTCAGTACCAAATCTTCCACAAATCAATCAAAGATGACTAAAACAACAATTGAACTTAGCCAAAATTGTTCATCAAAATCTCAATACCAAATCTTGCTCAAATCAATCGAAGATGATTAAAACAAATGTATTTCGAACCTTGTACATTTCAATCAAAGTGAATAACTTTTTGTAAGAACCAATCAAAGATTACAAAAACTGAAAACAAGAAAAGGATTGCAAACCGAAACGAACCAGTCTTTCCCTTGGTATAGAAGCGAAGAAGCGAATAGGAAACGTAAAGAGAAGAACAGATCCCCAGATTGTGCCCCACAAAGCTCTCCAGAACATACTTAAGTTGAACCAAATAGCAGAGCTCACCATATCAGTAGACACAAAGGTTGTAACAAGAGCTGTTCTAACACAGAACACACATGCAGATATGCAGAAAAAGAAAGGTCTGGTCATCAGATAAACTGAATATGAGACCAACCCTGAAACCAAACCTCCAAGATCCATTTTTCTTCACCGACAAAATTTTGTTTGTCCCTTTGACAACATGAACACACACAATGAGTCATTAGGTAAAGGAATTTCCACAAAAGGTCGAGAATTTTGAGATTAATATCCTAAAAGGTAGTGAATTTCGATACCAAAAATTTATAACTTGGGGAATCTCGAAGAATTGACTCTTATGGCTTTATTGTTATAGTTATTTTAAGAGCGGCATCAGAATTCCATAAAAGAAAGGAGAAATTAAAAGCATACCTTTATTTTAGGCACAGAGTAAGAGTAAGAGTGACTGTAAGAGAAGAAGTTGCAGCGAGTGAAGTCAGAGAGAAGCAAAGGAAACTCGATAGGGAAAGAGACAGAGATGTGGCAGAGAGAGCCAGAGAGGTGAGCCATGCACGACACGTTGAATGTATTTCTCAGGGTATTCGGGTTTTGGATAAAGATCCAAGTTTTTGAGAATATAATATACCTTCCGTTAGAACAAAAACCCAAAAACAATACAAAGATATTACATTATTATGAAATCAAAACAAACGACGTTAAATTTTTTTGAAATGATAGACAAACTCCTGAAATACTATGAATTCTGACTTCTAAACTTTATTCTTGTCTAATGGAAAAAAAATTATAAAGGAAAATTCGTCAAGATAAAATGCAAAAACAATTATGTAAAAATTAATTATAGCCAGTAAATACTAAATAGAGTTATATGAAAACCAAAAAAAATTATCCATATAAAGGTTTGCAAAAAAACCCATATAAAAATCCAATCGCTTGTGTGTTCCACGTTTTCACATAACTTTCTTTTCTAAATTATCTCTCATATTCTAGTAAACCTGTCAATGGTGAATCATTCTAGTAATTTTTCGTAAAACTAAAATCATTCTAGGTAATTTCTCATATAATATTTCTTTCATTGACATGTATACATGGAAGAAGCTAGTTGTGAAAATCATTGTCGAACTCTTGAATTGTATATATTGCTTCATGTCCATACAATCTTTCTTGGTATATCTAAAGAACACTAGAGGATATACCAACTTCAGCTACTATGATCATCTCCTACTAGAGAGTTTGGCTGTGATAATGGATTAATAAAGAATGTCATTACGTTAAAATAGTCAATTTTTCGATAAAAAATTATTGGAAATACGTCACAAATTATTGTTTCCAATGGGCAATGGATTTTTGGTTTTAGGTCGTAAAAAAACTATATCCATCGGAAATTATCCGATGACATCATTCCTCGAAACACATCGAAATTTCAGTTTTATTTTATTTTAAAGTATTTTATCCCATACAATATGAGGTGAAGAGTTTAGAAAAATAGAGACTAGAAATGGTAAGTCATTGAGATTTGAGCATAACAAAAAGTAATATGGACCCATACTAAGTAGAGTGAATTTTCCCACTATTTCTATGTAAAATTGTAAATGGAGATTTAACACTGAAAAAAAAACATGTGATAACAAAAAAAGTTTTACTCCAAATATGATGGGTCCAGAGTAAAACCTTACACTAAATATTAACCAGTCAGACCCAGAAAGTAACACAATCCTTAGCCTTGTGGATTAAGAAAATAATACAATCCCTAGTCTTACGGATGAGTATAATGAAGTGTTAATAAAAAAAAATGTTTAACTAGTTTAACTTATTTTTTTTTCTATTCCAAAAAAATACAAACTCACGTAAATCCTAATAAGATTTTTTCCAATCGCCAAACATGATTAAGACGCAGATTCTTCAACAACAAACAAGGCGTCTACTTAGTAATAGAAGTTGTTTCTTTCGATCCTTTGAAACCCTATCGGATCCAAATGGAACTCCCCTGAGTCGGGTCGGGAAAGATTCAGATCAGAATGAGAAATAGTGGAAACAAGAGCAACATCATGTGAAGCCCTCTGACCTCAGATCCAGCATCAAGAATCTCTGTGACTCCAAAAAATTCTCTAAAGCACTTGAGGTTTTTCATTTTATATTTTTAGTCTTTCATTAGTAATTTAGTAACAAAACGTTTCTGATATCTTTCAGGCGTCAAAATGGATGGGTGAACAAAACGTTTTTGAAATATTTCCTGAAGACTACACAGCACGGTTTCATCTCGTTGAGAATCTTCTTGGTTTGGAAGAAGCCGAGAAGTTCTTCAAAAGCATCCCATAGAACATGAGGGATTACTCTGTCTACGCCACTCTCTTGAGCTCTTACACGAGATCAAAGAAAGAAGTGGATAAAGCCGAGTCCACGTTTGAGAAGATGAGAGAGCTCGGGTTCCTCTTGAAACCTTTCCTGTACAACTCGATGATTTCTCTCTATGGTCAGCTTCAAAATCAAGATATGGTCGGGAAGCTCGTACACGAGATGCTAGAAAACAACGTGGAGATGGACGGTCCCACGGTGAACAGTGTTTTGAGTGTATACGCGATCCAAACAAGATAAACGAGATGGAGGGGTTTAAAACGTGGGTTGCTGAACAAGAAATCAAAATCGAAAGAGGCACGATCGTTGCAATGGAAAGGGCTTTCACTGCATCCGGTTCAATAGAAAAAGCCATAGAGATGTACGGTGATGTTGCAAGGAGTGAAAGAAAAGTGCACGTTCTTTGGAATGAGTGTAAGAAAGAAGCAAAAGATGAGCGATATCGAACTGTGATCAGCTCTTTATTGAAGCTGAATGATGTACAAGGAGCAAAGAAGATACATGTAGAGTGGAAACCTGAAGGACCGAAGCTGGATAAGAGCTGTGAGACTCCGCTCCCGTCTTTCCTTTTGTTTTTACTTTCGGAAATCAGACGGACGGGTTATCAAATCCATGAAACCGATCCGTTTTTCATCTGAATTGGCAATCAATTCTGAATGCTCCAACCGCCCATTCTGAATGCTCCAACCGCTCAACGTCCTCTCTCTATACACGTTGGTCCAACGCCCTCTTTTCTAGGCCTGTTGGCTCACTACTGTACGATGGTCGGTCTGTTAATCCGGGAGGCTCGTAAGACTTGTCTACTGTCCCTGAAATCACCACATAATCTTTCTCCGTGCTTTGTCCTCACTCACACGGTACCACAGACCACTTTCCGGTAGATCACCTATCTTGAGATTACTCCCAATTCAAGCACGCTTAACTCTGGAGTTCTCTCAAGACACTTGACCAAAAAAGATAAGTGCACTTTGATGACATATATACTAGAAATTAGGATGTTACAATTGTCCCTGACTTCCAAAGAATTCGCCCTCGGATTCTCTCTAACTCAACCACGTCCCAAGACGCCACCCGGATCAGAGCCGCTTGGCTAACCTTGGCTCTGATACCAATTGTGAAACCCTGTTCCCGTCTTCCATTCCGAGAACCAGATAGACCGGTTATCAAATCCATGAGATCCGATCCGCTTTTCATTTAGATTGGCTATTAACTCTGAACGTCCAAACCGCTCCTTCCAGTGAGTCCAACGCCCTCTATCTAGGCTCGTGGACCCAACGTCTTCTCTTTAGGTCCGTTGGCCCAACACCCGGGTCCTCTCTTTAGGTCCATTGGCCCAACACCCTCTTTTCTAGGCACATTGGCCCAACGTCCTAGGCCCATTGGTCCACCACAGTCTAACAGTCGGTGCGTTAGTCAGGAAGGGTCGTAAAACTTGTATACTGTTCCTGTAATCACTACGTGATTTTTCTTCGTGCTTTGTCCTCATTCACACGGTACCGCAGACCACTTCCCGGTAGATCACCCATCCTGAGATTGCTCTCAATTCAAGCACGCTTAAATATGGAGTTTTCTCAAGACACTAGATCGGAAAAGATATAGATCGGAAAAGATAAGTGCACTTTAATGACATAAATAATAGAAATCGGAATGTGACATAAGCATAACGGGTTTGCTGATTTCTCGGTATTATGCGGAATGGAATAAATTGGAGGTTGAGGAAATGGTAAAGTTGATTAGAAAGAAGAGGTAGGGGATGCATTTAAAGAAGGTTATGTATATGGAGAAGTCGACTAGAGAGAAGAGATATGGTTGGATGCATATAAACTACTCTTTTTCGAGTTTTGGTTTTCGCAAGATCTCTTGGTTATCCGATTTAGTGACATTAAAAGAATGGTTGAGGTGCATTGTGGGTTGCATTAGCTTGGTTGCCATCATTTTATTAATGGAGGCATTAGCGATCCTTACTGCTTGCTTGCCTTTGCCTTTATTCGAATACGCTTGGCGTGAGTGTATCATGGAACAGCACTCGCCTACATCATATATAGAGGTGAAGATCTTAAAAGATACCCCCATGTTATATTATTTCCTTTACGTTTGTAAATAGATTCTGTGTTTGGCTTTGATATGGATTAATAAGCATTCTTTTAAAAACTAGTTTAGTCTATACATGATTCTTGGTTCTTGGTATAATTTTCCAAGGTAGAAAATCAAGTGAAAGTTCTGTCGTTTTCTTTTGTTTCTACACTTTGTTGTTTCTAACAAAAAGAAATGTTATTAGATTAAGCAAATGATATAAAACAAATAATAAATGAGTCTGTTAACAGCATAAGCTCATCGAAAACAGTGAAAATTTACATCGTTATGACAGCAAAAACAGAAAAAATTTATAACCACGCATCACAAGAAATTAAACAATGAAAAGACATTATTTTTATATTCTGAATCTGGTCCGCATGACATGAATCAGGCCTTATCCTCCTTGAGCATTTTGGAATCCATATTCTGAAGAGGAATTTTGAACCTATCAAATTCAATTAGATTTGCCACAGCCCACTCTAAACTTCTGCGGCTCATCCACACGACTTTTTGACACATCATATTTTTAAATGTAGGCGGTGATTCCACCATGTCTGGATGATCCGCTACCCTTTCTTGGCTACTGGGCTCAGGAGGCTCTGACTTCAGAAGTTTTAACTGATTGTCTATGAATAAGCTCTGCATGTTGATGGTCTTAATGGATGATCCCTCGAACTTCAGTTCAACATTAGATGGGAACTCTGGGAAACTTATCTTTGTGAAACTAGGGAGATGAACAAGTCTGAGTTTCTGCAAATGACGAATGGCTGGGAAACTCTGCAAGTTCTTACAGCCGCGGAGATCAACTTGCTCGAGGTTTCTTGCTTCTGAGAGTTCATTAACTTCAAGCAGTTTCTGAGAATGTCGAAGGTTGATCCTCTTAAGCATCTTGAGGTTCTGAGAGCACAGAGAAACACAGTTGTAAGTGAATGGCTAAAGGAAAATAATAACAATAAGAATGTCTTTACACTTTTATTTGGGTTTGCTTACTTTGGTTCCTCCCCAAAGAGTTTGGAGTTGACTGTAAGGCATATCGAGTTCAACAAGGTTGCTTGGATCAAAATCTTGTGGTAAGGACGTCAAAGGATAATGTTCCCAACAGAGATATCTAAGCCCATAAGGCAGAGAGAGAGACTCGAGGGCCTTGTGATGTTTTCCAGGATTCGAGTAGTAAATCTTCAAGTACCTAAGATTATACATGGATCCGAATGAAGAAATTTTGATACCTTGGTTAAAAATAGATGCATCCAGAGAAATGGCTTCGATGTCTGTAGTGCCCTGAAACAACACAACATAAGAGCTTAATGGATGATCAAGGAGGGAAATTCAAAACTTAATTGGTTTGAAAAGGGACATACCAATAAACATTTAAAACTTGTTTTGGGGTCTTCACTGATTTTGAGCTGATGACACCTCCCAATTTCTCGGACTACCGCTTGAATCATGCTATGCATTTCCAATCTGTTTTCTGAAATAGTCACCAAAGAGTTCTCCACAAGCCGGTTGATTCCAATCTCTGGAAAGAAACCAAGGTCTTGAAGTAGTTTCGACACACATTCAATATTTTCGCCTGTGAAGAAAAAAGAAATATACACAAGTATGTTCTTCTCGTTGTCACTAAGTGCATAGTAGCTACTCTTGACTACTTCCATAATCTGATGTGGAGGAGCTTGCTTGAGCTTGAGAAACAAAGTCTCCTTTTGAATTGGTTTCTCGTGTGATGACATTTCTTTGCCGTATACTCTTAGAGCTAGAGGGTTTCCATTAGCATATTCGATCACCTTCATAGAAATTTCTGTAAGAAGATTCGTCTCTCTCACATCTCTTTCAAAGGCACACCAGGAGAATAGTTGACGAGCCTCGCGCTTGTTTAACCCTTCAACCTTGTAAGCTTGGTTGACTTGACACTGAGAAAGCACTTGCTCGTCTCTGGAGGTTATGATGATCAAGCTTCCAGGACTAAACGAGACAAGCCCAGCGAGAAAAGACTCTGCATCTAAATGATTCCTCACGTCATCAAGAACAACAAGAACTCTTTGTTTAAGTTTTTGATTTGGAAGAGTCTTGAAATGTTCCTGCAGCAAACGGTAAAGTCCCTTCTCTTGAACGGTTTCATGAAAGTTTTGAAGTAAGCAAGTTGCTTCATAGTCACCAGACATTTGATCAAACACTGCATTAGCAAGCGTTGTCTTGCCTATGCCTGGCATACCCCAAATTCCTATGGTTTTGACTCCCCATTGTTGCTTGCATAGCAAGTTTTCTATATCCGGTAGCATCCTTGAGTAGACTCCGATTCGTTCTTTCGGAAAAATCTTCTCATAAACATCTCTAGCAATCTTTTCCACAAATTCGCAGTCACTACAAAAGAAATTCGTATTGCTCTTAATTACGGAGTTACTATGTTATTTTATATCACTTGATGCCTCTCATGAGATATCAACCAAGGAAAAATGAATGTTGGAGCCTAAAATAACAACAAAATTTATTTAATATTGGATCAGTTGGAGAGAAACCATGTTTATCGTTAAACTGTGTATTGCGTATTAGGCAGATCTTCAACTAGTAACTTATAATCTATATAACGTATTAACCGAAAATAGAATAAAAGTGTTTCTAACCTTTTAAAATTGATATCTTCGTGGCCAGGTAAGCTTGCAATTTCTTCAAGAGCATTGCACCATTGACTTGCTTGATATGAAGTCCAATGCTCAAAGAGAGCCTTGGCGAAATTTGCCTTCACATTAGATCTACTAACTCCACAAAATACAGTGGTCACCACATGACCTTTGTCATGTCTCCTTTGTATAGTCTTTAAGAAATCATCCAAAGATTCCTTGGAGGACGCGTAGTTCTTAGAGAAAATCAAAACAGAAGCAATGGACATGGAGAATTCATCATGTTTATCTGTGAGCACAGAAATGCCTTTTCGACCAAAAGCAGCCGATAGATGGGGGACGAGAGACCATCTTATTGTCTCATCCGATCTATCGAAGCTGATTTTGACCTTGTTACGAGCTGCCATGGCTTGAGAAAATCTTAAGATTGGTGGTTTATTGGGAATGCTCTGTTTCTGGGAACAGGGGATGGTGAACAATAGAGTCTTAACTTATAGTGCAATTTGCTGATGTAAATAATATGTTTTTCTGTTTTAAAGCAATTTCCATGATGGTGGGTCTTATTCATATTTCATCGTAAAGCTCTTCTTTAAAAGCAACCAGAAATTTATTTGAATTGGTGGGTTTTTTTAACGGCAACACTCTATCTCTTTGAACAAGTCTCAGCAATTTAAATATTAACACTATAACATTAAAATGAATAAGGCTGTTGACCAAAAAAAAATGAATAAGGCTATTTCCAAGTTGTATTGTTGTTGAATTCTCATTCTTGGAAGCTTCATATTTAACTCTGCTACGCCACATAAATCTAATGAAAGGAACTCTCCAGGAAATGAAAAGTTGACATTTTTTCAACTAAAATTACATATAAAAACCATTTTATTGAAACTTTTTATATTAAAACCATCATTTACTATTTAGTTTTGATACATCACTAACATATAAATACTAAATAATACAGAAAATTAATATATATATATATATATATATATATATATGTATATAGATATATTTATTTATTTATTAAATAATACAAAATTTTAAAATATTATTTTGTGTGATTTAATCGACATCTTTTGAGGATAATTCAGTCTCACTGAAAATGACAAAAAGAGTAAAAATGATAATAGGTTAATAAATTTTCAAGACACTAAAGATAAAATTATAATAAAAAGAATATTCAATGGAAGAGATAACAAGTTATAAAAAATAGAGAAAATAAAATATTTAAAAATAAAAAATGACAAAATATATAACTGGAAGATCTGTGAAAATAAAAATAAAAATATATATAGATTTTTCAAAGTATAAAAACAAATAATTATTAAAAATAGACAGAAAAGATTACTAAAATTATTAAAAAAATATGATACAATATGATTTTATAAAGAAATACACAAAAGAAGATATTATATATTAAATGAGAATGTAGTTTAATGAAATCTGCTTATTTGTTTTAATTTGATTGGCTAAAAACGAGGAGAGAGAAGACATTTGCCAAATATTGGCTTAAATACGGCGGATATCGTATTTGTGTCCAAATAGTAAGAGATTATTATAATTTTAATCTCTTCGATCGCCCTGATCGGATGTTAGTTCTTGCGGATGAATTTGTAAATTTTGGAGGTCTAGAAATCGTCAGTATGTCTTTGGAATATATTTGTTAATTGGAGTTTTTTTATAAACCGTGTAAGGCAATCGCATCCTTTCTACTATTCAATATGAAAATTTGTCGAAATTCCATTATCAATTGCTTGAAGGAGAATGGTATTTTATTGGTAATTTTGAAGTTACTGACAGAGTTATTAGTCCAAGTATATCATCAACCAACTATCATATACATTTCATCGAGGAGACCTTTATTGAGAAAACCGATTTGAAGTCTTCCAGAAGAATATTCTCTTTTTGTGCATTCATAAAATTTTTTATACAGATTTATTCATACAAACACATATCTTGGTATGTTCTTTATAACTTTTTATTTTTAATCCTTTAACTAAGAAACTCCTAATGAATTTTCAATTGATTTATTTATTTTTACAGTTGATCTTTTCGGGGTTGTCACTTATGTTCAAAAACTTCAATTGATCGATACAAGTAACTCAACATCGAACACATCCAGGGAACGTGCACTCATTCATTTTATGCTAGAAGATTTCAGGTGAGTACAACTTATCCTAAAAACAACTGTTATCGTACTATAGTTTCGTGACATGATAGTATATTAATAATGTTCTATTTTGGTATAAGTAAACAGTGGATAATCTTTAAAATGTATTGCTTGAGATAACCTAGTAAGAAAATTTGAAGAACTTTGGAGAAATCGTGATAGGTCTTCTAGACATAAATAATTGTGATTTTTCTCTTTCACTAGATGGAGAGATACCTAAATAGAAACTATATCATTATTTCAATACAGCAATTAATTACAAGTTTGACATATATATTTTTTCCATTTACTGAGTATGTTTATGGGATTAGATGAGTGGATGGTTGAATCTGAAAGATTCATATCTGATATTGTCGAGAATCCTCTTACCCTGTAGTTTCCCACCTTTTACAGTCTCAATCAGAGTAACAGGCGTTCCTCGGGCTTCTAACGGGTCCAGAAGTGGAAAGAGCTAAGTAGATGTATGTTTATTCCATCTTTGATATGGTATCCTATACATTAATAATATTGCCTTAAATTTTTATAATGATTGAAAATTGTCATATTATTTCAGGTTTGCAACTTTAATTGATTTTACTCTGGTCTACGATGAATATGAAGAGCAGTCTCCGTAAAAGAGATTATTGTTTCTATTTCTTATTTTTAAAGTTTTATACTTGAAAAACTAAACTTTGATTTAGTTCTAATTGTGAGATTTATTCAATTACTATATCTTATAAAATTGTGTAATTGTGTTAGCATTTTTTCGTAAATGTTATTAAGTTTTTTTTTTAATAATAAATCTGAGATTAAAAATTTGAATGGTCCGGGATATGTGTCTGTATTAAAATGTAGCATTAATAATTTCCGGTCATATACTTTAATTAATTCACACAAAGCAAATTATTTGTAATATTTTTAAAGAAAATAATTGACGCAATGAAATAAAAACAGATATTACCAGATTTGACTTTTTCTTTCATCTTCACTTATTGTTCTATGTATACTACAAGTTTAAAGTCAACTATACCTATGAATTGAATATAAGCAGTTTGGTTTGTTCGGAAGTCACTCGGTGCAATAAATGTCAAAATTTACAATTTAGTATAATTTTACTAAACGACACAATCTTTCAAACCCTATACTTGCTTTGCTATACATATAAAGCATTCATAAGCGTTTGAAAAAAAATGTCTGGCCATCTTAACCAAAAAAACAAAAGTTTTCAGAAAACAACCACTTTCGTCAAATATGCCTTGCTATTGCACCCTAGAGTATATTTCTCCCACAAAATCTGATTCCAGAATTCTTATCAAAGTACTACGAGTTTGGGAACACTTCAACTATCGTAATCATACGTCTTATCTTTGGTGACGAAAATGTAAGTTCTATTTTATAAACTATTTTTCTCTGTTGCATGTTATGAATATTTAAAACCATGAATCTCTTAAATAATTACTTGGTTCACGAATTTAAGGCTACAAAATAGAGGCATCAATATATCAGGATCTTATTTCTGTTCTCGGTTTAAAGTTTAAAGAAAGAGAATGGAATTATGTCAAATTCTTCAGCGTTGTCAATGCGTTCGGATCTTTCAAAAATACCATCAACGACCACTTCATCACCATGAACGCCGATACTGTTGTAGACAAGACCTTTAAAGTCAATCATAAGTATATGATGGATTTGCCATTTAATGCCATTATCAGAGGGAATTTCACTACTGAGTACTCTATCGGTTTGGCTTCTCACCCTTATTCATTATAAAATTTATTATAAATATTGTGTAATGAACTTTTTTCTTGGTAGACTTGATCGGCGTAATCATTTATGTTGATGATGAACTAAGTACTGACATTGATGACCCCTACGAGATGATTTTTGGACTGACGCACAAATTGGACATTCAGATAAGGGACATGAAGTAAGATGTTTGATATTATCATCTATATGTGTAAAAACAAAGAATTTATTTTATGTTGTACATATGTTTCTTTGTTAAGGTTGTTGTAACATAATTTTTTTTCTTTAGTTGTGTTGATATGGACATCAAACTCACTGGGAAGACGGCTCTGGATTTCTGGAAGAAGTGGGAAGAAATAGGCCGGTACTTATAAAACAGTCCTGACTTTGCGGATGTTTCGTCTGACCTATGATTCTGAAAGTTAGTAATTCATTTTTTTATCCAGTAGAAACATTCATTTACAATTTGTTAATATGATAACTTGGGTTGTAACATGGAAACATATATTTTAAAATCAGAGAGGGAGATATCACATAAAGAATGCGATAAACCAATCTGAAATACTTTTCAATCTTCACATCAAAGTGGTTTCTGATTTTCTTGACTGGTAATTTTTCTAATTGGGTTTAATATATTTAACATGTTTTATGGTAAACTTTGATCTTTTTTACAATTGTTAAGTTGTATTATATTTTCAGGCTTTATTTCACCAATATCTATGGAGATCCGAGCTGACCCTAAGATGAATCCCTCTTATGTACTAATATTTTTTCATAACTGTTAAACTATGATATTTATGTAATATTTTCCCTACTAACTGGGATAGATTTGAATTTACTTTCCTAAGTTTGGAATGTAATATATAGGATTTATAAATATTTAATTGCCAATTTATTTATGTCCTTTACTATCTTTTGTCTGTATGGTTTGTATCTTTTACATGTATATATATATAGTTTTGGATATAACATATACGAGTTATATATAGAATGCATTTGATTTTAAAAATGTTATTTTCTTTATAGACATTTTCTTCTGTCAAATATTGCATATTTCCATAATAATAAGATATTATCAAAATATACTACTATGATATAATAGTGGTCATGTTCCATATTTGCCAAATTTAATATCATAACTATATACGTAAGCAGTCTTGGACATTTACATTTACTACGACCTTTTATAAAATTCCCTAATTATAATTATCCCAAACAATACAACTATAATAATCTATAAAGACAGGATATTTTACGAGATACTATGTAACTAATAATGACACCAATGCTCATTATTGAACTATTATCAAAATTCACATGTAAAAATAGATAGAAATTAATTTCGTCTGACGTATTGTTTTCAGTTTTGACAACTGACGTTTATCTATTATCAAACTTTATCTGTTTTCAGTTCCTAAAAGATTAATCTTTCCACATAGAATTTTATAAGTAACAAGCAATACACACATATTGTATTATGTAAAATAAGACAATTTTATTAGAATCAAGATAAAA